TGTTGAATATAACTGGATATGCTTTATTTTTGTGTTAAATATAGAGCATAGCTACCTAAGTTGTTAATTTTTGTTCCACCATATCTTGTAAGGAATGCTGTAGGAGGATCTAATTTGTGGTGTGATGGATATAACCGTCTATAGGTTGATAATGGAATGATATCTGTCTCAGCACCAGTGTCAAGTTGGAATATTACCGATTTATGATGTTGAAATCTTCTAGTAATTGATACAGAAAAGTTCTGTAAAACTTTAGAAGGTTTCTTCTGACCCTGATCATCGAGAGTGTTAATCCCTTTGGTTCTTCAGCACTTCCAACAGTGTGAATCTTACTTCAAGTTTGTGTAGATGATTTACAAACACTGGCGAAATGACCAAATTTTCTGCACTTTTGGCACTGTTTATTACTAGCTGGGCATTTCACTGTGGGATATGATGATGATGATGATTCACCACAATACTGGCATGGATGTGATGAAGAGTCTCGACTGTGTGATGATAATGGGTGATCATGAAATGATTTCAAACAGTTAACGAAAATATCAGATGACTGGCTTGTGTAGATGAGTGATGTTTGATACCAGTACCTTATTTCGCTGATAGCTAACCGACTGAATTTTGATGAAAACTATCTTTAACGAACAAACCTTTTCAATGAATGGTTGCAAATGTCCCTTTTAATGATTATCTCACTAATCCCAGTTCTGTCACCATGTTGTATTGTTTGTACAGGTTCAAAGGAACAAATGTGTTTCTAGAAAATAAGGTATGTTTTATTAGGCAGCCATGTTGCCACGGAAACTCCCCGTGCACAGTGATAGAATATAATATCAGCATGTGCTATAAATATTAACATAGGATATACCAAGGTATTGAGGTATTTACTGGAACCAAACAGATTTAAAGTGACTTTAGCCAATACTGTGACAATTATGTTGAAAGTAATTGACAGCTGATATATGTATATTGCATACAAATTCTGTTTTTTCTTGGAAAAGGTAACCCCTCGTGAAGGAATACAACATAGCCAATATCATAAACTCAGCGTGATGCTTTATCACTTATATAACCTCCGATTCATGAATTATCACACACCTTAGTATCATGTTTTATCACTCACATAACCTCAGAAGTTGATTCATGCTCAGATTCATGCTTTATATGCTTCCAGAATTGTGTTTTGTCTCTCTCATACCCACAGATTCATGTTTTATCTCTGTCATACCCTCAGGTCCCAGATTCATGTTTTATCTCTGTCATACCCTAAGATTAGTGCTTTATCCCTATCATAGCCTTGGCCTACATGAAGTAAAGTCAAATAACTGCTGTTATTTTCTATACAGTTATACCTAACCCCAACTGCTTGTTTGCTGCATGTGGTCGACAGATTCTGGTATCTAAACACAGTAACATTTAAATAATGGTTTTTGAGTCTTAGGGAATCAAATAAACAGGGGCATACATATGTTTTGGGGGGTGTTTAGCAAAAATGAGACCACCTGATGCACAAGCCCTCTTATACGAGTGACGCAACCACATGCCGAGCACCACAGGTGCGAGCTTTCTAGGGGGGTCTGATGTCATGCTACCTCTGAGAAAGTTTTGAATCTAGAGTCCTTGAAATGCCCTTCCTGGATTTTGCAGAATTTTTATAGTCAGAAAACACTTACAACATGGAGTACTACGCATGGGAATTCATTTTATTTATTAAGAATTTTGCAAGAATGTACAAATTATGTGAATCTGTGACAACTTATAAAAGTGATAATTACATCATTTACATGGACCTATATCTTTGATATATTGTTGTGGTGAATATATATCAATTAGCATTACTGAACATGTAACAGTTTTTACTGATTTGAGCTTTCAAAAACTAGGGGGTTGGATGGCCGAATGTTTAACACATGCGCGTTGTATCATAAGGCCTGTCATTGAGTCAACTGGCGTGGTTTGCGAATCCCCGGTCGACGTGACAAGGAGTAGGGTTGCCTGTCCAACCTCGTGGGTTTTCTCTGGGTCCACCGGTTTCCTCCCACTGCTAAAGACCCCTGCACAAGCGAATTATTGAAATAAAATTAAACCATATGTTAGTCCCGAAATGACCTAGTTTGTCTCGAGTGAACTTTAAACCCCATCTCTCTCTCTCTCTCTCTCTCTCTTTCTCTCTCTCTCTCTCTCTCATTTGAAAAACTGAAGTGTATTGTGATATCTACGAAGGCCCATTAGTGCCAAACCAAAAAAAATATTAATCCGTTTGAACGAGTTAGTATCAGGTGTGAACGAATTGGTATATGGTTTGAACGAATTAATTATCTCTTTTGAAAAAATTAATTATCTCGTTAGTATCTCGTTTAAACGAGTTAGTATCTGATTTAAATTAATTAGTATCTCATTTGAACAAATTAATTATCTCGTTTGAACGAATTAATCATCTTGTTTGAACGAATTAATCATCTCGTTTGAACGAATTAATTATCGCGTTTGAACGAATTAATCATCTTGTTTGAACGAATTAATCATCTCGTTTGAACGAATTAATCATCTCGTTTGAACGAATTAGTATCTCGTTTGAACAAATTAATTATCTCGTTTAAATGAGTTAGTATCTTGTTTAAACGAGTTAGTATCTTGTTTAAACGAGTTAGTATCTCGTTTGGGCGAATTAATTATCTCATTTGAACAAATTAATCATCTTGTTTGAACGAATTAAGATTTTCGATGTTACAGAAGCGTGGGAGGGACATGCAGAAATGGTGTTTTAAGTTTAGATAATGTTATTTAATACATAAGTTCTTAACTATTTCTAGCGTTACCGTCAGTAGAAGGAACTACATTTATGAGAATGAGAATTAGTATAGAATATGTTGAAAGTTATCCATGTTTTAAAAGCCGAATATGTTTAATGTTAGCGTGAATTAGCCACAACATCGTAGTGATGTCATTGTTTTAAGACATGTATATGCTTAAACAGGCATTATGCAATGAGCTAAATCTGCCTATTGCAGGTCTTTGTTTAGGCCTTAAATGTTATATAAACTATTCATTAGACATTTATTAACATATTCAAGAAGATTAGAATGGTTCGGCCATTTAATAATTTAATTGAAAAATGGTAAAGCAGGGCTAAACCTCGAACAACCAGTACGGTGGTTACATTCCGTGCACACATCTTGTCAAACCTTCAAAGGCTGATATCGTCGCTCAGAATAATTTAATGAAAATTTCAATATATTCTCTTTGCATTATCTATTTTTGAACTATTATAGCAAGAACGACCAGCTCTTTATCTAAATCTTACATAAAGTATCATTATTAATGTAGTTCTCTCTACTGACGCTAACGCTAGAATTAGTAAAGAACCTACGCGTATTAAATCATATTATCTTTATTTGAAACACAATTTCTGCATGTCCCTTCCATCCTTCTGTACAATCGAAATTTTAATTCGTTCAAACGAGATAATTTATTCATTCAAACAAGATACTAACTTGTTCAAACAAGATAATTAATTCGTTCAAACGAAATGAAATGTTGTTTAATGGCACGTCAGCTCCATCCGGGCTATATTGCGCCAAACATATGGTGAATTTAATGAGACAAATTAAAACAACAGGGATGAATTTATATATGTAAATAAAAACAAATATCACAGAAAATATAATTAAAAATAAATATATCAATTCCTTTACATATATAAATATTTAAAACGCAATATATGATAAATATATACAATTAAAATTTTGAATAAAAGTTTGTCTCTTTTAAAAATGCTAGCAATTTATCATAAAGCTCCAGCTGAGCAAACAAGATATTTATTCGTTAAATTGAGATAATTAAATTGTTCAAATGAGATACCAACTCATTCAAATGAGATAGTAACTCGGTCAAACGTGATAATTAATTCATTCAAACAAGATAATTAATTCGTTCAAACGAGATACTAACTTGTTCAAACGAGATAATTAATTTGTTCAAACGAGATACTAACTCGTTCAAACGAGATACTAACTCGTTCAAAGAAGATACTAACTCGTTCAAACGAGATAATTAATTTGTTCAAACGACATAATTAATTTGTTCAATCGAGATACCAATTCATTCAATCGAGAAACTAATCTGTACAAACGAGATACTAACTCGTTCAAACGGATTAATATTTTTGTTTGTTTGGTACTAATGGGCCTTCGTAAATATCTAATCAAACCAATGAAATGTATACATATATTAAGTATTTGGGATTTTTCCCTTCTATTTTGGCATTATTTGTTTAGCTCATTAATTCATTTAGTCGCTGATGCATAATTTTGAGATTGATCTTTTTTTTTCCTGACAAAAATATGCTACGATTTTAAATTAAAAATGACAATTTGGCATAAAGAATGGAATATTATCAAATATCTATATAACTTATTATGATGCATGTTGAAATAATGGTGGATTTGAGTGGGTTTAGGTAAATCGTACTACCCCAATAACATAACAAATATCCCAGACACTAGTATCAGTCCAGACAATAGGATATATAAATAGGCTATTATTAAAAGATTATTATGCATTTACTGTTAAAATCATGACAACCATAGACAATTCCATTAAAATAATGAAGCAGGCAGCATAAAAAAATAACAGAAAGTTAGACTATCTGGGATGCTAAGAAAGAAGTCTAGGTATGTCTATATAAACAGATTCATTATCTTGCGATTTTCGTTTTTAATTCGTATTAACTGATTGTTATTAGTTGTTACGGTCCACGATATACATCTTAAATATTCCTATAAAAATGTCTTTACATATTTATGGAAATGTGGTTACTAATTATTGACTTATAAAAGTTAAAAAAAAAACCCAACAATTTTTTGCATTAATCCACATTTCGGCATTGAAGTTCATAATATATATAGTCTGTTATAGCTTTAATCCGTAAAGCTTAATATCCCGACGGAGAAAGAAAGATGTGGTACTATGTATAAATACGTCAATAAACTATAGTAGATTACCTGTTTTATAATTGTCCAGGATATGTCTCCGTGGATGCCATGTAGAATTCCAGCAAGACTGAGAATCGCGGGAATACTGATTACTACAGGATCACATGACACATACCACGTGTTCTGATTTCATCAAAGTGCAATCCGTGCCAATCTTTCAATCATTCAATATAAACTAAATATCACAAACGTCAGGTAATCAAACCTTTTACTTTTTAGGTTGTTTTTGAAAGTAAAAATACTACTTGTGTTATGGTAACCTTTTCTCTGGTCAATCAAAGATAACCAAACTTATTTTCAGAAAGTAGACTAACCCATTAATGATTAACACACAGACCACCGAACATTATCGGTATGATGCCGCATAGTATACTGTTTCCTGCTTACTTGATATGCAGACAAATTAAAGTACGCATCGACCAAATAATACATCAAGGTCACTGTCTGGGTGTCGACCTGCCTTTTCTAGTGGCACATATATATACTATTCAAAAAAAGTAGGGGATATTTGATTTTGGGGGCATAATACTAAAATATGCAAATGACTACGAAAAAAAGTCACTATAGAACCTAACAGAAGAAACATTTCCAGTTACATGTGACGCCCAAACGCACCAATAGCTACCGCATGGAATGCAGGTGATGCTTGGGATCATCATGGGGGTCCAACCCAAGATTTGCACGACTCTGACTTTGAATGTTACAGTCATTGTGGCATTGAATTCCAGGGTGGAACCATCAGTTTAATTGTTTTAGTGACCAGAAAACAAATTTTGATATGCGTCGGCTCACCTAAAATGAAAGGTTACGTGCCCTTGGCATGCTACAGATCGGCACAACACAGGCGGTTGTGGCGCGGACGATGAATGTTTCTCAGTCTGTCATAAGCAGGCTATGGTCCAGATACCGTGATACACAATCTGTACAGGACAGACCACGCTCAGGTCGACCAAGGGCGACAACTCAAGCCCAGGATCGATTTATCCGTACCTTGGCCTTGAGAAATCGTGTCATCACAGCAAATCAGATCAGCGCTCGTTTTCAAACAGACACTGGTGTGAGAGTGAGTGGCCAGACGATTCGGAATCGACTGCATAGGGGTCACCTTCGCGCCCGACGTCCTCGCATGATCCCTTGTTTGAGAGATCATCACATTCAGGCAAGACGTCGTTGGTGTAAGGATCGTCAACACTGGGATAATCGACGCTGGAGCAATGTGATGTTTTCAGATGAGTCAAGGTTCACTGTTGATTTTTTGGACAGACGTAGGAGGGTGTGGCGTCGTCGAAACGAGCGCTTCCAAGACGTTAACGTCATCAGACATGATCGATTTGGGGGTGGTTCTGTTATGGTGTGGGGAGGCATCACTGTTGCTGGAAGAACGGCTTTACATGTTGTTGCAGGGCGTGTTACAGGCCAGTACTACCGGGACAACATCTTGGCAGTCCATGTTGTGCCGTTCGCACGACGTCATGGCCGCCGTTTCATCTTCCAGGATGACAACGCAAGATGTCACAGGGCCAGGATCGTTACAGGTTACCTTCAACAACAGAACATCACCACATTACCTTGGCCAGCACTGAGTCCCGACCTCTCCCCCATCGAGCATGTCTGGGACATGCTTGGACAGAGGTTACGTCAACGTCAACAACGTCCTGCCAATGTCCAAGAACTTGCTGCTGCGTTGCAACAGGAATGGGACAATCTGGACCAAAATGACCTTAGACGTCTCATTAGTAGTATGCCACGTCGGATCAATGCTTGTTTGGCAAACAGAGGAGGATTTACCCGTTACTGACTTGGTTGTGATGCTGTGGTAACTTTGCTGTTTGACCCCGGGTATCATTTTACCCTTATAATGGTCAGTCTGTGCCTTACTTAGTCTAACGATCATTTGGAATAAATCGATGAATGTGAACTTCATTTCATTTTGTCATTTGTTTCTTCGTCAGTTTCATTAGGTGACTTTAATAACACTTAAAAATCAAATATCCCCTACTTTTTTTGAATAGTATATTAACTTCCCTATCTCTAAATTATTCACTTTCTCTACAAATTCCCACGTTTTTTTTTTACTACAAGTCATAGAATAGTGTTATCCTGGCTGAGGAGAAATAACATTATTACCGTGTATCAAATCTCACTCTCCTTGGATTTATTCTATTCTAGATAAAACATTTGGTTCCCTGATACCAGAAAAGGGCTACTGACTATTGCTATCGATATGGCACGTGTCTAAGCATTACATCAAATCCTTTCAAAGTAAACGGTATACGTGCTGCCAACCCATCTGGTTCTGAAATAATCAAAGACTAACTGTATCTCAGCTAAAATTTTACACCATTTAGTACCCCACTACTCAATTTATTAATTGATATTTCTGTAAATTATTGATATATAGGAAAAACTTGTCTGTGATATCACCCATGGTGGAAGTGGACATTAAGCTTCAAGGAAGGAATGAACAAACTTACTTAATCAATGGGATGTCCTTGATATCTTAGTCCTGAAAACAATTTGTGGGTTCTCCTATGTCAGACATTTTATTTCCCCATTCTACACACAGGGAACTATCTACTCTACTCCAAGAATAGATCTCTGCCCTAAATGGCTGCCATATCCAACAATTGGTATACTGATTTGAAATATACTTAGTGTTTTCGACTAAAATCGTTGATTTAAAGGGACAATAACACTCTTGCTGGCTTGTCGACAGCTCCAGAAAATAAAAAATAGCCTTATTCTAAGTACTAGATGTGTTAGTGTCCTACCTGTTGTGTAAATTATCCATTAAATCCTATTTTACTTGTCGAAAGGGTTCAAAAATATTTTTAAATCCAAGTCACATTTGAAAAGCTTTACGTCAGGCTTTTCAAATCATTTAGTTGAATTTTTCCAATTTTTTGAATTAGATGTGTTAAGATGAAATTTGTATCCTTGTTTCGCAAATAGTGTAAATGTATGTAATGCCAAAGTTGTTGATACGCTAGAAGTCACAATTTTGATCTGATTTTGATGAAACCTGATATGTATGTTTATAATTCAAAGATCTTGGTTCCTGTCGATATTTGCACATATCGGACGGTAACTCCCTGAATTATGGCCCATGATTGTACGAAAAATCACGTTTTTAGCTAATTAAAATTATACTCTTCAAAAAAAGTAGGGGATATTTAGAAACAATACAAAACTGCGGAAATTCACTGCTGTTTTTATTAGAGGTAGCCAGTGTATGTTAATAACAGGGCAATTGCCTACACATGAACATAAACAGTTCATATGGGCGGTTTATCTGACGGCCCCATTTCACTGTCAAAAGTGAAAATGGACGTTTTGGATTTTTGTCTTAATAATGAGAAATTGCTCCACCAATCCTCAGACATTCAACAATTCGTCAAGGCATGCTCCTAATCAACTGTCCAATCACGATTTGGGGCAATCTGACCCACTCCTCTTGCAGTGCCACGGCCAATTCTTGCAGTGTTCCCGATCAAATTAAACGGCTGCCGAACACGTCTGCCGATCAAATTAAAAGTAACACACTAAAGCAAAGATACGCTAAACAGTAAATCTTATGCAAGAACCAATAGGAATTCAAACATGGATAGGATAAACCAGCAAGCGGCAGTTTTCATCAACCCTTCCTTGAAGTGCCAAATTTGACAATGAACCCCTTCCAATGTGTATGGCGCTATTGCGTGTTGCACATGCAGCTCAGTGGTTCTGTTGGGGCGATAAGTTCTTCATCTGTGAACATACTCTTAAAGCATGTCAAGTGTTCATGACTATTTATCATATCACAACCTTCATAGGTATTTGCATTTCAATATCCCCTACTTTTTTTGAAGAGTATATTATAGGCTGTCAACTAAAGTGGTTGATCTATTAAGTTTCTTCTAACTATTGTTTTAAATGCCTTAAGACTTAATTATATGTTTATGTCAACATAGTAACTAATTTATATAAAAAGATAAATGTATTTAAGATGATTCATTAGTTGGACTTGGAGAGACCTGCTTAGGGAACCTATAATATACTAGTTGGAGGTCTGATTTATAGGAAATTGCAAGTTGTTAAATTGTTGCTGTTAATTATTTGCTCCTGTAATAAAGTGTTGAAGATCCATTTCAAGAATCTGTACTCATTTCTGATACAGGGCTGGGGCCATTACATTGCCAATGTAATTAATTACATTACCATTATTTTTTAAATGTAATCCTTACAATTACTTTCTCATTTTTAGCAATGTAATTAATAACCATTACCCATTACATTGAAAGTAATTAATAACCATTACTTTATGACTATATAAATAAAACCAAAGTTCATAGAAATTAAAAAGACAACCTTATTTCCTGCGCCTACAAAATCAAATTCAAAATAATCCTTGATTCACTTTAATAGATATTTCTGTATGACTTGTTATTTCTATAAATTATAACATCAAGGCAAATTTTCAAGTGAGGGGCGGTGTTGACAAAAACTTGAGGTCTAAGTTTGATTATGAGAGCATTTTCAGCTCTGGGTAAGCAAAGCGATAAGCAATTCGATTGGTCGAGACTTTGGAGCTTGATTCTAATTGAGTGATAGTGGTGAAACTTTGTGTTTTATTACATCAGTATCTTAACAACGTTCAATGCTGAGCATTTTCTGCTTAGGCAAAGTAGAGACTTCAGTCTGATTGATTGAGACTTTGGAACACAATAACTCTCCTTCTAATTGAGGTAGAATGTTCAAACTTGGTGTAAGTGTCTATTAGGCGAATGCCTTGACATAGTTCGTTCATGTGCATTTTCCACTAAGGCTATAAGCAGAGATAAGCAATTTGATTGGTTGAGACTTTAGAACACGATAACTTAGGTTCCAATTGGGTGAGAGCGATGAATATCTGAGTATAGATTCATTATATCAATACATAAGCAATTTGATAGGTCAAGACTTTGGAACATAACAATCTGCTTTTAATTGAGGTATAGATGTTCATTAGGCAAATGTATTGACTGAGTTCAATGATTAATATATCCCATTAAAGCTAAGCAGAGCCTCGCAATTTCTTTGGTCAATGCTTTGGGACAAGATAACTTTGATTCTAACTGATAGAAATTGATGAAACTTAGTGTATAGTTTCACTCACTACCAAGCACTCCAAAACCTGAGTTTGATAGTGGGCATTTTATGCTTAGACTAATCATAGATAATGTGTTTGATTACTCGATACTTTTTAAAAAGATAAATGTGCAATTAATTAATATGTGTCATCTGTTTTGTTTTTTTTTATTTCAGCAGGGGACATCAGCCTGACTCTTGGCTTGTTATAATTTGCTAAAAATGATATAAATCTTTTTTTTATAATGAATTGGATTTTATGTCAGATACACTTAATTTACTTCTTTGGTACAATAAAACTTGAGGCCAGTTATATTGGAAATATTTATATGTAATTGAAATGTAATTGACCATTACATGATTTTTGGAAGGTAATTAATTATATTTCCATTCATCATTACTTTTATCATCTTCCATTACTCATTACATGCCCATTACTTATAAAATGTAATGATTACATTACATCACCATTACAATTACCCCAGCCCTGTTCTGATACTTAAGAGACCACACGTCGACAAACTACATTCCCTGAAAAGCTAACAGTGTTCTGTTTAGCAAATTTGATAAGGATCTAGGATTGAAATCTGTTGAAACCTATAGCCTCTATCCCATTCACATGGTTTTCGGAAACAGGGGTATAGAGAGAGGAGAGAAATGGGGTTTAACGTCCACCCGACACAAACCGGTCATTTCGGGACTAACATATGGTTCAGTTTTATTTCCATAATTTACTTGAGCGTAGGGGTCTTTAGCAGTGGGAGGAAACCGGAGGGCCCGGAGAAAACCACGAAGTTGGACAGGCGACTCTACTCCTTGTCACGCACAACCGGGGAATCGAAACCATGCCAGTTGACTCAATGACAGACTTTATGATACAGCGCGCACATGCTAACCATTCAGCCATCCAACCCCCCAAACGGGGGTATAACTCAGGAACAGAAGGCTGCAGATTATGAATATTGATAGGGATCGATGATCCCAATACTTCAAGCCGAATATGAAAAAGATCCATTAAAAAGATAAAATGAAGTTTAACGTCCTACTGTTCTGCTGCGACTTGGCTAATGAAGACGGGCATACGCCATTAAGTGTGCTATGAGGGAAATTTTGCCCTGACAGCGGTACTCTGGCCTACTCATCTATTGAATTCCAACTGCCAAAGGATCTTTTATGTGCACGTGTGTACATAGGACCTCAGTTTTTCATGCCATCTGAATGACTATGGTATACATTGTCCCTTGCTAGGCTTCTTGTCATGCACAGCTGACAAAGGGGAACCCCGCTTGAAAATTCAGATGAACTTTCAAGAAAGGCCAACACTGGGATCGCACACAGGACCTCCAGGTTAGTTAGCTAATGTTTAACGCACTGAGCCACCGCAGCTCCCATCCATATAGCCTTTATCGCATTCACAAGGTTTTTTAGAAACAGGGGCATAACTTGATCGTTGCTGAAGTTAAAAGATCTTTGAGAGACGGGTTTCGGAAATGAAATGGGGTTTAACGTCCTACTGTTCTGCTCCTATACTGGGCTAATGAAGATGGGCATACGTCATACAGTGTGATTTGAGGGAAATTTTGCCCGGGCAGCGGCACTATCGCCTACTCTTATATCAAATTCCAACTGCCAAGGGATCTTTTACGTGCATTCCAATGTATACACGGGACCTCGGTTTTCCGTCTCATCCGGAGGACTAGACAGCTGTCCTTGTCAGGCCCTCCGTTCTGCACCACTGACAAGGGGAAACCACGTCTGAAAATCAGGGACGGGTTTTGGAAAAACAGTCCAGCAATCGTTCGAACTTTGGAGGATGTGCCAGTTATTCCTGATGATCTTGCTGATGTGGACTGAAGTTGGATAATAGTCCGTTATGAAAACTGGACGTTTGTTATCCTTTGGTGTGGTTTTTGTGCTTAGGAGGCTTTTCCTCTGCATATTATCGGCTTTGTATCGAAACAGTATATATAGAACCCCACCAAGTGAGATAAATCGGTCTGAAGAGTTTGATACGGACGAAACTATAGTCACTGCTAAAAGGGATAACTGGCCAAATTGCCCATTTTATCTACCAACAATTTTTTCGAAACAATATATCAAAGTAATTTCTGAATACTGCTTACGAACAGGATGAATAACTTATATTGAGAATGCCTTTAATGTAACATGTAAACTCAAACTTCTAAAAAAAACACCTGTCTTAATACAGTTGAAGTGTGATACAAATAATAATTAGGAAATGAAAACACATCTTAAACAAAATGAATACTGATTTATTAAATGTAAGCTTAAGAAAATTATACAACATAAGTATATAATAACATGTAATTAATATTTATAAAATTGAGAATAACTTTCGGGTAATAATGGAGCAATGGTGGAGTCTGCCAAACTGGGGTTTAATGTCCTACTGTTCTGCTAATGAAGATGCGCATACACCATGCAGTGTACTATTTTGGGAAATTTTGTCAGGACAGTGGTGCACTCTTATATCGAATTCCATCTGCTACAGGATCTTTTACGTGCACGCCAATCTTTACACAGGACCTCGGTTTTTGCACCGCTGACAAGGGGAAACCAGGCCGGAAATCCCAATTAACTTTCTCGGCCAACACCGGAAGTGAACCCGCGACCTCCAGGCTAGCGAGTCAGCATCTTACTTACTTAGTCACTGTGGCTCCTCCTGAATAAACGATAAGTAGTATTGAGTTTAAGACTTTGCAAACACAATCAAATGCAAATGTAATTGGCACTATATTTTTTTAAAACCATGCAGTGAATAAAGAATATAAATATAAATATAAATTTAGTAGAAAGAGTATAATACTAATCACATTATATACAAGTATAATAAACCAGCAGAAGTTTCAGCAGATTAAAAGATTCTTTGCAAAAAATGCCTACAAGGGGAGATAACTTCAGTCCCTATTGTAAAATAGACTGCGCATTCCATAAAATGAACAAGGACCGATCTCGGTCATATATTAATTTAAATTTAACAACTTTCTTCATCTTACTAATGTTAACAACGTAACATTATGATAGTTAGCGCTCTGTTGCTAACTTCTTTTAAACAATTTAGACAGACAGATGAAACGAGTCACAAAATAATACCACATTAAAATGTCTGTCTCTTAAGACCATGGGTCTGATTACACCATATTTTACAATAGGAGCATCAGTGTAGAAATAATCATTTAATTAATTCAATAATTTGTAAAAGCCATTATGATTAGCACCATTTCATATTCAGAAATGTTAATATTTCAAATAATTTTTATCGACATCATGATATAAATGTACACTATAACATGTAAACTACATGTAATTATGAATACACAGGATATTCTGGAGACCATCAAAAGATTTGCTGAGTATTAAATGAATTAAAATGAATTACTATCATATTTTACCAAAACAGTGAATATAAATGAGGAACAGAAGTAGGAAAATTCGTATACACCTATATGAAAGTATGGAGGATAAATTGGGACTTTATTCTTAGATTTTACATACACAAAACATGTAGTTTTTCAACTCAAATCTATTCACCTATACTAACTTGTTACAACTCTTTATAATAAGAGAGTGTATGATGAAACATCTCAACTGAAAGATATCATGGTATTAAAATATAATCACATATTTTTAACTTTAAGAAATATGTGAACAATCTGGCGTGTTGAGACTTACAGAACTGAATATTTAAATCTGGTGATATGGTTCTATTTGCGAAATCCAATAAAAACTAGAATTAATATAATATATGTGGGTTTATTAAATGATTAAAATTAAAGCTAAAGCTAGTTGACTTAAACTTATATGTATAAGAGAATATAATAGACAATATAATATAATATAATATCGTATCGTAATATTAATTAAATAATAACATACAAAAGCAAATTAAATTAGCAAAATATATTTATATCATTTCCTTGTCATGTTTTTAAAATCATTATATTTGGTCAAATTTGAAATTGTTCAGGAAGAAAAGGGACTTTGTTTATGGGTCATCTTGGCATTTATTTCAGCTTTTTGAACCATGATTAGATCTCAAATGTTAAAATTCTATAGATTAAACATTTATGCTAGCTTACTATTTCTCTCTGCTAAACATACCAAAGGCATCCTGTGAGTGCCATAGGGGCAAGTAACACAAGGGGGGTTTTGGGGGATCTCCCCAATAAAATTGTGAAAATTTAAGTCAATTACCTGGCATTTGAGGTCATAGCTGAGAGCAAATTCTTATGAACGCAAGGATCAGAAATTGGACAGAATCTAGACATCTGCCTGTCAATTCTGCCTGTTTTGTGATAGTATAAGACTGCAGCAGAGTGAAAGAATGATGTCATAATGGAGCAAGCCCCATGCCCTGAAACAATTTTAGATATCGACGCATAATATTTAAAATACTGAGCACTAATTTTTTGGGACTGGGTCTGAGGGTTACTTCAAAATGTCATCTCCAAGTTTTCCCATTCAAAACTGCGAATCAACCAATGTGGTTAAGAATAATTCCAAGAGCATCGCTAACGCTGCAATATACGTCCACATTCCAGCTTTGATTGATATGGTACTTTTTAAAATGAAGAGAATGAAATATGAAATGGCCGTAATATGACAAGAGGCAAAGAAGGCTAGGCGTTGGGTTTGTTTTTCCAAATTTACAGACAAAAAAAAGTGGGTATTATACTGCTCCAGGAAGTCGGGGCATGTACCAAAATAAATAGTTGCTGTCTTTACGGTATAAGGGATAAATATGCAAAGTTCCAAGACGTTCCATTCAGAATTGCAGCCTGTAGATGATAAGTACAAAAATCGGATGTGGCTCTGCCCCTGGGGGTTGAATATGGAACAATATAAATAGGCACCACCCTGTTATTGAAATGACAACATCAATAGTTGCCGTCCTTAGGGTATAAGGAATAAGTATACCAAGTTCCAAGATAATCCATTCAGTATTGTGGCCTTCGCCCCTGGGGGTCAGGGCATTCACCAAAATCCATAATTGACGTCCTTAGGTTATAAGGAATACATATGCCAAGTACCAAGTTGATCCATTCAGAATTGCGGCCTGTAAACGATAAACACAAAAATATGGGCATGGTGGTTGGGACATGCAGTTGTCATGCTTAGGGTATAAGAAATAGGTATGCAAAGTTTCAAAAGGATCTGTTAAGAATTGTGGCCTGTAGGCGAAACACAAGACACACAAACATGGGCGTGGCTCTGTCCCTGGGGGTCGGGCAAGCACCAAAAATAATAGAGGTCAGCCTTAGGGTATAAGGAATAAGTATAAAACAGTTTTCAAGATGACTGATTAAGCATTGCATGCTGTAAGTGACACAATGACACACAAAAAGAAAATGTGCGTGCCTCTGCCCCTGGGGATTGGGCATTCACCAAAAAATATAGGGATGTTCCTTAGGATAGAAGGAATAAGTATGCAAAGTTTCAAGGTAATATGTTAAGAAATTTGGTCTGTAGATGACAAACAAATAAATACAAGAAATGGGTGTGGCTCTGCCACTGGGGGACGGGCATGCACCAAAAACAATAGGGGGTCATCCTTAGGGTATAAGGAATTCATACGCAATTTTTTTCAAGACGATTGATTAATAATTGTGGCCTGTAGGCGATACACAGACACACAAAAAGAAAATGGGCGTGGCTCTGCCCCTGGGAGTTGGGCGTGCACCCAAAACGATAGGGCTGTTCCTTAGGGTACAAAGAATAAGTATGCAAAATTTCAAGATGAGTGGTTAAGAAATGCAGCCTGTCGATGCCCAAAAAATACAAAATATTGGCGTGGCTCTGCCACTGGGGGTCGGGCATGCACCAAAATCAGTAGGGATCATCCTTAAGGTATATGGAATAAGTATGTAAAGTTTCAAGACGATAAGTCAAGCATTGCGCCCTGTAGGCAACATACAGACACCCAAAAAGAAAATGGGCGTGGCTCTGCCCCTGGGGGTTGGAGAGAGAGAGAGAAATGGGGTTTAACGTCCACTCGACTCAAACTAGGTCATTTCGGGACTAACATATGGTTTTTTGATTTTATTTCAATTATTCGCTTGCACATAGGGGTCTTTAGCAGTAGGAGGAAACCGAAGGACCCAGAGAAAACCCACAAGGTTGGACAGGCGACCCTACTCCTTGTCACGTACACCGTTGATTCGAAACCACGCCAGTCGACTCAATGACAGACTTTATGATACAGCGCGCGCACGCTAACCATTCAGCCATCCGCATGTACCAAAAACAATAGTGATGATCCTTAGGGTATAAGGAATAAATATGCAAAGTTTGAAGTGGATTCGATAAGAAATGCGACCTGTAGACGACAAACAAAGAAATACAAAAAAAAGGGTGTGGCTCTGCCCATGGGGGTTGGGCAATGGGCATGCACCAAAAAAAATAGGGAACATCCTTAGGGTATAAGGAGTAAGTATGTAAAGTTTCAAGACAATCAGTTAAGAATTGCGGTCTGTAGGCGACACACACATAAAGTACAAAAACCTTCACATGTAATGCAGAATGTCATATTTCTCAAGATAAATAAATATAAAAATATTTCTATAAAAAACCAGCGGCTGCCAGACAGGATAAGTCCACATTTTGCAAGAGATGGATAGAGAACAAGCTAAACAAAAAGTGATTTTTTCGTAAAATCAAGGGCCATAATTCAGGAAGTTATGGTACGATATGCACGCATACATACAAGAACCAAGATCTTTGGGTTATAAAGATATATTTCAAGTTTCATCAAAATCGGATCAACATTGTGACTTCTAGAGGGTCGACAACCTTGATATATTTACACTATTTGCGTAAGAGGGGTGGCCATTTTGTCCGGCAGTTTTGGTCCGATTTTCACGAAATTCTAACTTAGCCATCATTAGGGTGTAACGGTGAAATATTCAAATGTTTTTTTCAATCGGATAAAAATTGTGACCTCAAGAGGGACCACAAACTAAAAACACGATTTTTCGTATAATCAAGGGCCATAATTCAGGAAGTTATGATCCGATATGTGCAAATATTGAAAGGAACCAAGATCATTGGGTTATAAACATGCATTTTAAGTTTCATCAAAATCAGATGAAAATTGTGACCTCTAGAGTGTTCAGAAGCTAAAAATGTGATTTTTCTTACAATCAGGGGCCATAATCCATGAAGCTATCGTCCGATATATGCCAATATCGAAAGGAACCGAGATCTTTGAGAGACAGACCTATATTTTAAGTTTCGTCGTAATCAGATAAAAATTGTGACCTGTTGAGTGTTCACAAACAAATTATTGACGGATGGACAAACAGGGGCGACGGCATAATACGTCCACATGAAAATGTGGGTGTATAAAAATGTACAAAAAGCACTTTCAACCAACCTATGATCCACATTTATTAGGCTAAACATTCATGGCTGAGATAAGGAGTGGAAGTGAATAATTTATAATTCTATACAGTACAGATATCTCGGAAATAGAATCACCTTTAAATTCCATAGATACCTATGATTTGCTTGTAAGACACAAATTTGATTTTTTCATGGAAAAATTGGGAAATATTTTAAGTTTATATTGGTCTGACACTGCCATCTTTATCTCTCTCTCAAACAAACATAGTAATAATAAACTGCCAGATTTTTTTCCCCTAAAAATCAGTCATGGGGTATATCCTGTTTTGGGGAAGAGGTCTTGGATTCATACCAGAATAATGTGTCTATTTCTAATGAAATGCGTATATAATTCCTGATGATTTATTGCAAACATAATGAAAGTTACACATTAAAAATCAATTTCTTAAAGAGTCTAGATTGTATACTACTGGTACACTATTAATAACATTAAATTTAACATTTCTAAGACAATACTAAAGTAACATGTAAAAATTATAATACTTTATAAAATAAATTGTGGTTGTTAGACTTCTGATGATGATCCACCAATGGCTCCCCCTGTAGCCCCAGACATTAATTTATCTGTTTCATCATAATGACATTCAGCACTTGTATCAACATTAACATAAGTACTTTCAATATTTCGTTTCTGTGGACCTGTTTTGTGTTCTAGTTTTTGTATCATATTACTAATTTCATTCACAAGATCACTAAAAGCAGGTCGATCTTGTGGATTTGCATTCCAACATTGTCTCATGATCTCAAACCTGAAATAAAGTTAAAGACAGGAATTCTTTTTTTTATTTGTGCAAGCGTAAGATTGAGTCTACAGTAAATATGATAATTTTATTTTATTGTGCTAATGATTTAGTAATTATTAGAAGCAAGCCCAGATCTCTCAGGATATACTTTGATAAAGGTCGGTTTAAGTAAGAAAATCAAACACCAACGTGTGGAAAAAATAGCCCAATTACCAAGTCTTAAATTTTCAAACCAAAACCATTTGGAAATGATCACTACATTTTCTTAACAGGGCCATACATTTAAGAAATTTTACTGTTCAATTGTATAGGTGTCTTGCAATTTATAAACATGACAATCAGTTGCCACCTTAATTTCTGCAAAAATATAGCTATGATAATCAAGGCACTTCTATAATGTGCAATTTGGGGACTTGTTATAGTCTGGAAGTGGTAGAAGGGTGAAAGAATCCCTGTTACAGTACAAGTAAGTCTAGATCTCAGTGTTACAGTCGGGGAAGAGCAGGTAAAAATCCTGGTAAATAATCTAAATAAATTAATCTCTGTGTAACAAACTTGACAAGACTGTATAAAGTAAAGTGGTTTAATCCAGGACACATTTTGAGCTATAGTTGATGAAAGACTGTAGCCAGAAACCTGTTTTGGATTAAAACGTACTTTACTTTATTCAGATTTGTCAAGTTTGTTGCTCAGGGATTAATTTATTACTCTATTTCCAATCTAAATGATATAATACTAATATTATTATCAGTCTCCCTTCCTTGTGAACTCTTGGTCATGAATTGTGATGAAACTGTCTTTGAATTATCAATAGGTTCATAAATATAACAATAAATGTTACTTACAAAGGATCAGGACAGTATTGGGGTTGAGCCATTCTTCTTCCAGCCTTTAAATAACGTATAACATCCCAGTTATCTACCTCGGGATACGGATTAACTCCCCTTGTCATCAACTCCCATAAAACTACACCAAACGACCACTATAATAAAATACAAAATAGTTCACTTATTGTAATTAAGTATAATCATATTGACATGCCCCTGTGCAGTCTATCTTGAATAATATCGCTTTTTTCTGGTCATTATGTCTAGTATGTTTATCTTTCAAATGCCTTAAAATAAATGGGGTGTATTTAAGGCAGTCCTACAGAAAATGAGTAGTCAGTCACACAATCAATTAGGAGTGTGCATGTATTAATTCGAGTATATAATAAAACCACCATTATTTTACTAACAACCGGTGCTTTTAACATTTTTAGGCATGGTATGATTTCAATTACATTTAATCAAATTTATAGAAAATAATATATGATTTAATTTTCAAGCATAAACTCTCAAGTACGATATGCCTTTAATAATAATAATATCAATGGAAAAATTGTACTAATTTAATTCTAGTAGCCAAGGTTATAATTAATATTACAACAAGACTGCTAATTCTGAATCTTTATTAAGACAATAAATCCTGTTTGTCATTGATTTGTATTTAATACCAGCGGCTGCCAGGCAGGATACGCCCACATTTTCGAGAGATGGGTAGAGAACAAGCTAAAAAGAAAGTGATTTTTCCCACAATCAAGGGCCATAATTCAGGAAATTACAATTCGATATGCGCAAATATCAAAAGGAACCGAGATCTTTGGGTTATAAACTTACATTTCAAGTTTCAACAAAATCGGATAAAAATTGTGACCTCCATTGGATCCACAACATTGATCTATCTTCTATATATATATTTGTGACTGTCGTTTGTCTGTCTGTCTGTCTGTTCGGGGTTGGCGTCTAAACAAGGTCTGCCCCGAGTCTGAAATTTTGGGTATAGGGGTAGCTCGGACCGGGGAGTAACATAGGTCAGGTGGCGTTACTCTACCACTTCCGGTTTCGGAGTTATGACCCCCGAGCGAAGTCTGTCTGTTCGGGGTTGGCGGCTACATCTGCCCCGAGTCTGAAATTTGGGGTATAGGGGTAGCTCGGACCGGGAGTAACATAGGCCAGGTGGCGTTAGTCTACCACTTCCGGTTTCGGAGTTATGACCCCCAAGCGAAGTCTGTCTGTTAGGGGTTGGCGGCTACACTAGGTCTGCCCCGAGTCTGAAATTTGGGGTATAGGGGTAGCTCAGACCAAGAGTAATATAGGCCAGGTGGCGTTAGTCTACCACTTCCGGTTTCGGAGTTATGACCCCCGAGCGAAGCCGGTCTGTTCGGGGTTGGCGGCTACACTAGGTCTGCCCCGAGTCTGAAATTTGGGGTATAGGGGTAGCTCGGACCGGGGAGTAACATAGGCCAGGTGGCGTTAGTCTATTACTTCCGGTTTCGGAGTTATGACCCCCGAGCGAAGCCCGGTATCCTGCTAGTATACCATATTTTTACGCTATTTGAGAACGAAGGGCGGCCATTTCGTCTCAGTTTTGAGACGATTTTCACGAAATTCGAACTCAGCCGTCCTTATGGTGTAATGGTGATATAATAATACGTTTTTTTAAATCGGATAAAAAATTTGACCTCTACCGGGTCCACAAGCTAAAAACGCGATTTTCGTACAATCAGGGGCCATAATTCAGGAAGTTACAGTCCGATATGCGCGAATATCGACAGGAACCGAGATCTTTGGGTTATAAACTTACATTTCAAGTTTCAACAAAATCGGATAAAAATTGTGACCTCCATTGGATCCACAACATTGATCTATCTTCTATATATATATATATTTGTGACTGTCGTTTGTCTGTCTGTCTGTTCGGGGTTGGCGGCTACACAAGGTCTGCCCCGAGTCTGAAATTTGGGGTATAGGGGTAGCTCGGACCGGGGAGTAACATAGGTCAGGTGGCGTTACTCTACCACTTCCGGTCCACAACCTTGACATACCATATTTTTACGCTATTTGAAAACGAACGGCGGCCATTTTGTCTGTCAATTTTGGGCCAATTTTCACGAAAATCAAACTCAGCCGTCCTAAGGCTGTAACGGTGATATAATAATACGGTTTTTAAAATCGGATAAAAATTATGACCTCTATAGGGTCCACAAGCTAAAAATGCGATTTTTCGTACAATCAGGGGCCATAATTCAGGAAGTTACTGTCCGATATGCACGAACATCGAAAGGAACCAAGATCTTTGGGTTATAAACTTACATTTCAAGTTTAAATAAAATCGGATTAAAATTGTGACCTCCATAGGGTCCACAACCTTGATATACCATTTTAACGCTATTTGAGAACGAAGGGCGGCCATTTTGTCTGATTTTCACGAAATTCGAACTCAGCCGTGTATTGGTTATATAATAATACGTTTTTTTTAAATCGGATAAAAATGATGACCTCTATAGGGTCCACAAGCTAAAAACGCGATTTTTCGTACAATCAGGGGCCATAATTCAGGAAGTTACGATCCGATATGCGCGAATATCGAAAGGAACCGAGATCTGTGGGTTATAAACTTACATTTCAAGTTTCAACAAAATCGGATAAAAATTGTGACCTCTATAGAGTCCACAAGCTAAAAATGTGATTTTTCGTACAAATAGGGGCCATAATCCATGAAGTTTTGATCCGATACATGCCAATATCGAAAGCAGCCAAGATCTTTTGGAGATAAACCTATATATCAAGTTTTGTCAAAATCGGATAAGAATTGTGACATGTAGAGTGTCCACAAACAATTGTGGACGGACTGACAGGGGCGACGACAATATACGTCCACATGAAAATGTGAGCGTATAATAAAATTATTTAACTCACCACATCTGATTTAGCACTGTACGTTCCTTTTTCCAAACTTTCCATTGCCATCCATTTTACTGGTAATTTCGTTTTTTTATTGTCTGAACTGTAATAATCTTTTTCATAGATATCTCTCGCTAAGCCAAAATCAGCCACCTTTGCTCGGAAATCTTGATCCAACCTTCGTAATGATAAGTTAAATCAAATAAAATAGACTACAAAAAGTTTATAGACAATGTTATAATCTTATACCAAGACAACTAAGAGACCTTCAGAATTTTTGAGACACACGTGATCATACAGTCTATAGGAGAAATCACTCAAAATTATAATACAGGTTAGAGAATTTATCAATCTATTCAAATTGTATATCCACATTATATAGTAGTTCTCCATGTTGGCAATAAAAAATTTACTGAGCCATAGACAATATTTAGAAGTTTAAATCTGAATTGAATAGGAATTATGCCGGTTAGTACTATAAAAAATATTTTAGTTTAATGTTTATATTTGTTTTGTTTTTTTGTGATACATTCATTGGCTTCTGAAATTAAACCATCGCAAGCACATCACTAAATTCGGCAATGCAACTTTAAATCTATTTTAAAAATGCAAATCCATTGTTTCTAAATTACCAGTGAAATATTATGTTTCCAAGACAAGTCTAAAACCAGCGGTTGCCAAGCAAGATACACCAATATTTTGCAAGAGATGGATAGAGAACAAGCTAAAAAAAAAAAAACCCTGTGATTTTTCTACAATCAGGGACCATAATCCAGGAAGTTATGGTCCGAAATGTGCTAATATTGAAATGAACCGAGATCTTTGGGATATAAACATAAGTTTCATCAAAATCGGACAACCAGCGGCTGCCAGGCAGGAAACGCCCACATTTTCGAGAGATGGATAGAGAACAAGCTAACAAGAAAGTGATTTTTCCTACAATCAAGGGCCATAATTCAGGAAATTACAATTCGATATGCGAGAATATCGAAAGGAACTGAGATCTTTGTGTTATAAACTTACATTTCAAGTTTCAACAAAATCGGATAAAAACCGCGACCTCTATAGGGTCCACAACCTTGATATACCATATTTTTATGCTATTTGAGAACGAACGATGGCCATTTTGTCTGTCAATTTGGGCCGATTTTCCCGAAAATTGAACTCAGTTCTCCTTAGGGTGTAACAGTGATATAATAATACGTTTTTTTAAATCGGATAAAATTATGACCGCTAAAAACGCGATTTTTCGTACAATCAGGGGCCATAATTCAGGAAGTTACAGTCCGATATGCGCGAATATCGAAAGGAACCGAGATCTGTGGGTTATAAACTTACATTTCAAGTTTCAACAAAATCGGATAAAAATTGTGACCTCTATGGGGTCCACAACCTTGATATACCATATTTTTACGCTATTTGAGAACGAAGGGCGGCCATTTTGTCTGTCAATTTTAGGCCGATTTTCACAAAATTCGAACTCAGCAATTCTTAGGGTGTAACAGTGATATAATAATACGTTTTTTTAAATCGGATAAAAATTATGACCTCTACAGGGTCCACAAGCTAAAAACGCAATTTTTCATACAATCCGGGGCCATACTTCAGGAAGTTACGGTCTGATATGCGCGAATATCGAGAGGAACCGAGATCTTTGGGTTATAAACTTACATTTCAAGTTTCAACAAAATCGGATAAAAATTGTGACCTCTATAGGGTCCACAACCTTGATATACCATATTTTTACACTATTTGAGAACGAATGGCGGCCATTTTGTCTGTCAATTTTGGGCCGATTTTTACGAAATTCGAACTCAGTCGTCCTTAGGGTGTAACGGTGATATAATAATATGTTTTTTTAAATCGGATAAAAATTATGACCTCTATAGGGTCCACAAGCTAAAAACGCGATTTTTCGTACAATCAGGGGCCATAATTCAGGAAGTTATGGTCCAATATGCGCGAATATCGAAAGGAACCGAGATCTTTGGGTTATTAACTTATATTTCAAGTTTTAAAAAAATCGGATAAAAATTGTGACCTCTATAGGGTCCACAACCTTGATATACCATATTTTTACGCTATTTGAGAACGAACGGTGGCCATTTTGTCTGTCAATTTTGGGTCGATTTTCACGAAATTTGAACTCAGCCGTCCCTAGGGTGTATCGGTGATATAATAATACGTTTTTATTAAATCGGATAAAAATTATGACCTTTATAGGGTCCACAAGCTAAAAACGTGATTTTTCATACAATCAGGGGCCATAATTCAGGAAGGTACAGTCCGATATGCGCGAATATAGAGAGGAACTGAGATCTTTGGGTTATAAACTTACATTTCAAGTTTCAACAAAATCGGATAAAAATTGTGACCTCTATAGGGTCCACAAGCTAATAACGTGATTTTTCGTACAAACAGGGGCCATAATCCATGAAGTTTCGATCCGATACATGCCAATATCGAAAGCAGCCAAGATCTTTTGGGCATAAACCTATATTTCAAGTTTCGTCAAAATCGGACAAGAATTGTGACCTGTAGAGAGTCCACAAACAAATTGTGGACGGACGGACAGGGGCGACGACAATATACGTCCACATGAAAATGTGGGCGTATAAAAATTGTGACCTTTAGAGGGTCCACAACCTCCGTATTAATACTTTTACACAATATGCACAAGGAGCCGTTTTTATTTTCCCCAAAATTTGAACTCAACCTTCATTATGGTGTAACGGTGATATATTTAACGGCTTTAAAATCGGATAAAAAGTGTGACCTCTAGAGATTCCACAAGCTAAAAATGTGATTTTTTTGTACAATCAGGGGCCATAATTCAGTAAGTTATGGTCAGATATGTGCGAATATCCAGAGGAACTGAGATCTTTGGGATATAAACATATATTTTAAGTTTCATCAAAATCAGACAAAAATTGTGACCTCTAGCGGGTCCACCACCTTGGCAATATATACCTTTACACAATTTGCGTTCAAGGAATGGCCATTTCGTCAGGCAGTTTTGGTTCGATTTTTATGAAATTGGAATTCAATCACCATCAGGTGTAACGATGATATATCCAAACGATTTTTAAAATCGGATAAAAATTGTGACCTCTAGTGGTTCCACAAGCTAAAATCGCAATTTTTTTCTTACAATCTGGGGACATAATCCAGGAACTTACGGTTCGTTATGCGCAAATATCAAAAGAAACCGAGATCTTTGGGATATAAACACATGTTTTGAGTTTCATCAAAATCAGATAAAAATTGTTATCTCTAGAGGGTCCACAACCTTGATATTACATACTTTAACACTATTTGCATATAGGGAGTGACCATTTTGTCTGGCAGTTTCGGTCCGATTTTCACGAAATTCAATTTCGACCATCATTATGGTGTAACTCTGACAGATTCAAATGTTTTTTTTTTAAATCAGATAAAAATTGTGACCTCTAGAGGAACCACACGCTAAAAATGTGATTTTTTGAACCGATATGAGTCAATAACGAAATTAACCGAGATTATTAATTATAAACATATATTTCAAGTTTCAACAAAATTGGAAAAAAATTGACCTCTAGCAGAGTGTCCACAAGCTAAAAACGTGATTTTTCATACAATCAGGGACCATAATCCATGAAGATACGATCCGATACATGACAATATCGAAAGGAACCAAGATCTTTCGGAGATAAACCTATATTTCATGTTTCGTCAAAATTGGATAAAAATTTTGACCTGTAGAGTGTCCACATGCAAATTGTGGACAGACAGGGGTGACGACAATATACATCCACATGAAAATGTGGGCGTATAACAATTAAAAGCCTTAAAGACTAGTATGTCATTTTGTAAACAAATATTTTTAGATAGGAAATTATGAAAGAAAAATTTATTTCTGTCATGAGTAAAAGATTTATTTATTTTATTTTTATACTCTTTGGGGAAACCATTAAAATAAACAATGGGTGTTATATTGTTAATAATCTTACATGCAGTTTCTGGCAGCTAAATCTCTATGAACAAACTTAAGGCCAGCTAAATATTCCATTCCCTTAGCTATATCTATACCGAACAGTATTAGATCTTTAATTGTGGGGTTCTGAAATAAAACACACCAATAACAAACCAAAAATAAAAATAAGCAAAACTTTAAAAAAAAGCAAATAAAACAAAATTATAAAAAATAAATAAACCCCAGTTAATTCTAGTAATAAAAATGAAAAGCAAATAAAACAAACAGCCAGACATTAAATACACTGTTACAAAGCTATATTTCTGTGAATACATGTAAAATATGTAACCTTAATGTGCTGGTTAAATTCAACACAAGATCACGTAATATGTATAATGACTACCACCAGAACTTTGTATGGGGCCTTTTTATAATTTGGGGGAGTCAGGAGCAACATTGGCATGTACCAAAAGTGATTAATGTTTGTGCACTGGCAAAGATATTAATAGCATAACGCTTCTAATTAAACCCAGAATTATGTTTTATTAGTAGAGAAACATTTTTGGCCAATCAGAATGACCACAATTCCGGTGATTGCACTTCTCTCTTGGTTTTTTGTTGATGCATGTCAGTAAAAATAAATAATTTCTGTGGGTGCAATAATTATGTATAAATATAGTTTGCCAGGCAATGAAAACTATGCCCACAGCAGCTAAGTTATCCAATCAGTCCAATAGATTGTTGATTGTTTACTCATTTGTACTAACTTGTAGGTAATGGGAGGGTTTACAAGACACTGATCAAGAGTAACAAGTAATTATCAGAAAATGAAATGAAATAGGGTTTAACGTCCTACTGTTCTGCTCCAAACTGAGCTGATAAAGACGGGCATACGCCATACAGTGTGCTATGAGGAAATTTTGCCCGGACAGCGGCACTACAGCCTACTCTTATATTGAATTCCAACTGTCAGGGGATTTTTTTTTACGTGTACACCAATGTGTACACAGGACCTTGGTTTTCCGTCCCATCCGAATGACTAGACAGCTGTCCTTGCTTGTTACGCCCTCCGTCCTGCATCATTGACAAGGGGGAACCACGCTGGAAAATCCTCTGCCAATGCAGGGATCAAACACCCGACCTCCAGGCTAGCGAGCCAGCATCTTACCCACTTAGCCACAGTGACCCGGAGTAATTATCAGATCTAATTCAAGATTGATTGGCTTGTAGTTGTTCCTAGAGCCAACATGTACTGGTAATCAGTTAATAAATTTAGATGTTCAATTTATTGGATATTGTGTCTAATAAACATAAACACTATGTTTAAATTTAAAATTAATCTGATAATCACTTTAGCCATTAAAGGCTCTAGAAGACTTTTAATAGTGATCAAGGGCATTTTTTCAAAGTGGTCAAGGGCAATAACTCTTGAAGTACTTATCAGAAATTACTGATATTTTAACTTGAGAAAACCCCTGATCTGAATTTTGCTGATATCTTGAGAAAACTCCTGATCTGGATAACTGATGACTTAATTTGAGTAAAACTCTGATCTGGATTACCGATGGCTTAATTTTATTACACCCCTGTTCTGGATTACTGATATTTTAACTTGAGTAAACTCCTTATCTGTATCAGTGATGTCTTAACAAAATTTGTATTCTTAATCTTATAAATTCTTACATTATTTTCATCTCTGATGTAGCTGAGTAAATCACCGTGTTCCATAAACGGTAGAACAACAAGAGGCATGGCATCTAATCCAAGACATATCCCAATTAATTCTAGAACATTCTCATGATGAAAATCTTTCATTAATAGAGCCTCTTGAAGAAAAGCATTTAGCTCTATTTCACGAGGATTACTCTCTGAAAAACAAATTGTTGGAAAGTATGTTTTCAATATCCATACATCAATTCCAAGTATTAACACATTCCACATGGCCAATACTTTGAAAGTTAATTAGAGCAAATGTTTGACAATACATTGGTCAGATTTGAACCTGTGAAATCAAGGACAATATAAAAACCGGTACAACAGATTAATTTGTCATGTGTGATCATACATATTTGAACCAACATCATCAAGTTTCTGTTAATTATAGAGTAGAAATGTAGCGTTTACTTACGATGTAAAGTTTTAACAGCAACCAATATATCTCCTTTTTGTTCAGGCAATGTAAGAAACCCTTTATATACACAGCCAAAATTACCTACATAAAACACAATACAAATAACTCAAATACTGTACATATCAAAAACCATGTCCTGGATAGTCAATAAAATAGCAGAGAGATAACACAGGACTCTCACTACAACACCAGACTATTATTCTCACCTCATTGTTAAATCCATGCCATTTTTGGCCTATGACAGTTTTTCGAACATTTTGATGATCCTATCTTGATAATGACAAAGAGCTCAATGTGTCACAAGCATCTGATAAAATATTATAGAAGGTAGTTGAGCATCTCATTTTCAATTTTATATCTACGCCAGGTTAAAGGCATCCATAGACTGTGACGTTATTTTCTTAATCGATTTCCCTAATTGTTCTTCTTATGCACTAATGGAAAATATAAACAATTTTTTTAAAATTCCTCTATCGAATAATTTTGAAATTTAAATTCAATTATCTTTATAGTGTGTTTAATCTTATAAAGGCAATAATGTAAAAAGACATTAAGGGTTGAGTGAATACTAGTGCTGGGTATTGCCACGGCAGTCATGATACAATACATATTGTGATTCAAGTACTATGATACGATTCCTATCATGATTCATAACCAGGTCAATATTTATCAAGAAAACAACAAGATAAATGAATAATTGATATTTTTAGTCCTGCCAATGTCGAAGAAATTAAACTGTTTTATATCATGAAATTGATGTAGATCAAAACAATGACCAAAACAATTTAAGAGTGTTTGTGTGGATAATGTGTGACGTAGATAATTAAGAGTGACAGGTTACTTACTGAAGCGACAAAAAAAAACATAAAAAAAGAACCCTGATAAATCAATTCAGTTTCTCGCGATTCAATATGCGAATAGTGAAAAGGTGAATCGCGATACATCGATTGAATGATATATCATGCCAACAATATATTGTGGTGCCAACAATATATCGTGCAAGCACTAGTCAATACTACATCCATAAGTGCTAGTTTTACCTTTGCCCAATATTTCAGTTTTAGTTAAATGTTCACTGTCTATAAGCAGATTTTCATTTGTTATTAAAGCTAACAGATCATCATCTATAAGGGTTGAAGGTGCAGCTGCAGCAATAGCATCTCTTTCTGTATAATCTGTAAACATAATATTACTATATATGATTTTATGTTTAGTTTGTTAAAAGCAATGTTAAAGAAAGCCACATAACATGGAAATATTCCCACTTTCGCCCATTTAGCAACAATGTCTCAACAGCAGCTTAATTGGATGTTGACCAAATTTGATATTTCAGAAAAGGAACTGATAGTCGCTGAATGCTGAATATCGTCCTCTCATGACCACAATGCTTCACACCAAATTTGAAAAATATCTGTCAAAAACTGTAGCCACTAGCCAACTACGCACTCCCTATACAAACAATCCACATTCCAACAAAATGAGAAATAAAAAAAAAACCTTACTGTTTTGTCTGTTTTCTAGGTTAAAAGTATGTTCACCAGGTTGTGTTAAACTATCAATACCAATATGATCACCTTGTGTATATCTGATACTACGATCATCACGTGGGGGTTTAAAGAAACCAATACGTTTTTTCTTCATTATACATAATATAACGAAAACGGCTATACAGATTAAAGCTATTATTACACCCAGTATAACAAGTTGGTATGTTGCAGCTGATGCTCCTGCTGTATATATGACAAATCCTATTTCATAATGAAGATTACCAACATGAACCTAAAATACACACAAATATCATACATAATTTCCTGACATAATAATCTCAAATTAAAAATCAATCGACCAGTTTGAATAATTTTTATTTTATCTGTTTCCATAATTAATTTTTTTTTGGAAGAGATGTTAAAGGAGCACTCTTACATTTCATCTGATATGAAAACTTGAAATTTACGATTACAGTAAATGTAATAAAATAACCTTTTTACCCTGTCTGAACAGGGTTACGCAACTGTTTACATGTACTGAGAATTGTGATAAAGGCAACTCATCACTCCGGGAAGCTAACAGACATGGACTGTTATTCAGCCATTGTTGCAGCTGTCAGATTGGAACCTTGTCAATAATTATAATAAAAATGATTGTATTTTTTCAAAAAGTTCTCTCCGACAGCTGCATGGGATTATTCAGGGTTTTTTCACCAAAATATATCTGAGGCAGGTCATATTGTCATATCTATCATAACATCAAACTAACAGGGTTGATAATTAGTAGTTGCCAACTGGTCTGGGGCCATTATTTATATCTAAAGGAGGCAAAGGATTTTGAAATAGCATGCCACTATCAATTGGAATTTGAGTATGGCTTATAAATAAGATATGGTGCTCACCACTTGATTAATATATAGAACAGCTGATACCACTTCACATTTGAGGCATTCAAATTTTTGAAATAAAATTTGGTATGGGTCAGTTGATAAATCAATAATTTGACCATTGCAATTTTAGTTTGTTGAAACTGTACTAACCTCTACTTTTCTCTTGGGTTCATTTTCACTTATAGATGTTGGTTTATTACTCGGAATACATTTAATATTAGTTTCTTCTAAATCTTTTACTTTACATATATCATCTCCTACAATAACTTTTATATCTGTCTGTGTAAAACCTAATCCTATATTATCACCCTGTAAATAATTATATCCTTTATCTAAGTAAAACTGTAAATCTATATATAACAAATATAGTTTACTCCCAGGAAGTCTCTGTTAGGGTCCATAGAAGATTAAGAACAAATATTCTCTTGTTTACCCAATACATGTAACCCCAAACAGATAACTAACAACCCCCTCACAAAAGCTGCAAACCAAGTTATGCATTTGCCGATCTGAATGATATTACAAATTGAAAGATAGGTTGCCAGGCATGGAAACATTTACCCACAGCAGGTAAATCAACCAAGCAGTCCACAAAGGTTGTCACACTGTTGATCTTCAGGTAAATAGAAAGCAAATTCTTTAAACTGATAATATCATTTCAATGTTGACAAATTTTCTATGATATAATCAAGGGTAATAACTCTATAGGCATTGTGTTGCAATATAATTCTTCTCATTGCACTAATCTGAACATAAATTTCAAGCAGACTGAATGTCAGCTATTGCCAATAGACTGCTCACAACATTCCACAAAGTGATCAGAGATAATAACTCTAAAAGTTATCAGAAACTATTGCAATTCAGTCAGATGATCAATGTAATCTGTACGAATAATGATGACTTGATACGGACAAATGATACAGTGAGCGAACAAGCTAAAAAAATAATTGAACACTTTTCTACAATATTAATTGGTAGTAGTGAATAAATTTTAGACGAATCAACAGAAGACTATAATTATCCTCATTGTAAAAACACTTTACACCAAAAGTAACAACACTTTTTTTAAGCATCAACAATTGAAAATTTAGGGAATATCACCGGAATTTTTCATAATCTATATGGGTTTTATATTCTAGTCTATGATGCCGTTTCTATGTTGTATGATATAATCATATGGAAGTGGTTAACAGGCAACAATATTTAACACTAAGTTTCAACTTACTTCAATGACAAGATTTGATTGTGAAACATCAAACTCTAAAACATTCCCGTCTCCACGAAATTTATCAAACACTGGATCAGGATAATATGTAAAACTACTTAATTTCCCCTGTGTTTGATGAAAGTTGCGTAAATTTTCCACACCATCCATAATAAACCACAAATTGACTTCCTCTGGATCTGTTTTCTCTGCATTGGTGATGACAGAACTAAAATCAAGAGCTGGACAAATCATAGCTTCTCCTCCTTCCGTAACATTACAAAGCTACAAATACAATACTAAAGTTACAATATAAAAAAACATGTAGAATATAGCAGAGAAATAATGCATTGATGATTATAAAGGTCAAATTCTATATAAAATGTGTATTTATTCACATAGTTTCATTAGAAATACAGCACAAACAATTAATTTTTAGGAAGAAAGAGAGAGAAATGGGGTTTAACATCCACTCAACACAAACTAGGTCATTTCGGGACTAACATATGGTTTAATTTTATTTCAATAATTCGCTTGCGCGTAGGGGTCTTTAGCAGTGGGAGGAAACCGGAGGACCCGGAGAAAACCCACGAGGTTGGACAGGCGACCCTAATCCTTGTCGCGTACAACCGGGGATTCGAAACCACGCCAGTTGACTAAATGACAGGCCTTATGCTACAGCAAGCATGTGCTAACCATTCGGCCATCCAACCCCCTTTTAGGAAGAAAAACCACTAGTTTTAATTAAATGCATTTATATAATTGATCACTGTCATTTTCCTGTTGGGTCGATGGCAATTAAGTTCACCTTTATGTGGACCTATATTATTATAGTTTCCTTTTTAACATAAGGAGTACTGCACTACATGCAAAACAAAACCAACAAAACAAGACAGACATTACAAGAAATAAACAACAAATATCAAATCAAGTGAATGGATTGTTGTTTCTTTTTTTTCTAACTGGGGTATGCAATTAATGTATGTATATTGTATCAGGATTATATTGTAACTTTAAGTGCAGTTGAATTTTCGGCAGATTATCAAATAACTTAAATCATTATTTTTATTATATGAAAGGACTGTTGAGAGTCTTATGGACCCTTGACACTTAAAACAATATATGTAGTGACTCGTTAAGTCTGAGGATTTAAAAAATATTTTTTTAAGATATGTGAAAACAAGAAATCATGTTGGTGCCTCTGAAGAAAGTCAAAATTTTAAATTGTCCATTCCAGCAGATCAGACAGTCAAATGATAGCCTGAATTGATGACATAACTTGATAAATGGTTTGATAAAATAAAGTGTTACTACATTACCTCTTGTTGTGTTAAGTCTTTCCCATCTAACGAACCTCCTATATACGGTCTAGCTACTGAATCCAAGTTAGATCCTCTCACAGTTATTGGTATACCACCACTACATGTATAGAAAATATATAATAAAATCACTATCCAAATTCAATACACCCATTCCAAGTGTATTTGGTTACATATTGATGACGACAACATTTTATCGAATTACAGAGAAACTATCACTCCCGCCAAAAAAACAATTGAATAAATTTAGAATAGCATCATACAGTAGTCATTCACACAGAATTGACACTAGATTTTAAACACTTTTCCAGACTAAAATCTTACCTAACAAAAGATTGACGTGGTAAAATATGATCAATTGTCGGGTTTTCTAAGTAGAAAAAGTTAGTTTCTTCATTTTCATCAATACTTAAGGTAGCATCATCAATTTTAACAATGAGTGGACCATTTCCTTTAGCTCTATTTATAAATCTTTTTCTTCTTGATGATATGAAACCAGATGTTTCTGACCAAGGAACAGTTGTACAGTCAATCTGTGTACTAGTTAAACTAAATAAAACACAGAAAAATATTCTTCTTATTAAAGAGTTTTTACATTTAACTAATCAAAACATAATTACCGGTATGTTTTTATATAGGGTTGGCCATAATTCCTTAACTGCACATTATCTAAGTGCTGGATAGTCATATCTCTATATCTGCCAAGATTATAGAGGTAAATGATTGAACAACAATTTGTAAATGACTTGATTTAAAGCTTCCAAACAAGTTAATTGGACTATTTCTTCACATTTTGGTATTTGCTTTATTCATACCCATTTCTATGAACCAATACAATGCAAAATCTGAGACGACTTCTATAAACAACTTGTCATTCTTGCACATAGAAATAACTACCAGATTATTTCATCCATTGTCAAGCTTACCCTCAGATAAACAGTTCGATAATCAATGTTATTACTCCATGTGTTTTAAGGTCTCTACCACTAAATATCCAAATTATTGAGAAATTCAGCTATGACCATTTTAAAGTATAATTGGCTTACTGCACTCACTTGAAAATGATACAATTAAAATTATAAGCAACAGACACATTTGGCAATCCTCCTATGTTCAAATTATCTCCCTTGATCCTTATGTTAGTCCCTCCTGCTACAGGCCCTCGTTTTGGTTGAAAAGACTCTATTTTTGGTTCCTGGAAAATAATGAGGTAAATTCAGAATGTGTATATCAAAAGATCATTACTGGAGAATTTGGGGCTTACAAATTATTAATAGTGGAATATCAAGTCTTATTAAGCCAGACCTCTCGCAATCAAAACACTAATTCTTTCACTGCATGGGTCATGGGTCAATCACTGCAATTTGATGTTTAAACAAGAACATATTTAAATTCATTTTCAGCATTATATGATTTACAGTCAATGAAACAGTTATTTTGAAGGGTAAATGTTTTATTACCTGATAAGAGAAATATTGTTCAGAGTAATCAGTGCCTTCTACATGGTAGCTTCTACCAAACGTGGTACTACCTGTAACTGTTATCTGTACTGGTCTCTGTTGTACAGGAGCAGGACCAGTTCGACATATTAACCTATTTAAAAATTTATATTATCAGTAAAAACACTTAAGTCTAAAAAGTCAAATGCTGAAAATAAAATACCAGAAGTTGCTCCAAAGAAAAAGCCTGTTATCATGTGATGTAATACATAGACGGTGGCTCCTCACGAAGGCTGGAAAAGTCATCACAGTATTCAGATTTAACAGTAAGTCAAAAGAGTAATAAATTTATTTAAAAAGTTTAAAAAAGGTTATTTAAGAAGTAAATCTCAAAAACTAACACTGATATGTTTACATTGACAGGGGCTATAAAATGTCAATAAAATAATATGCTAAACAATCTTAAAAATATAAGAAAACTCTGTGAATGGTTTACTAGATTTAGAAGACAGTGACAAAAGATTTATGTGTGACTGATTTGCATTAAGGGGTCTCCTCATGACTAGCCAAACACGCCAGTCATGCTAATGTGCCCCACCTCAATCCCAAAATAAATAAATGACACATTAATTAATAACATATTTTTTTTTGTTTAGTTTTGAGCAATAAACTTAGATAAAGCAGAATGGTTTTGATGTAGTGAAACTATACCAAGTATCATCACTCTCCCTCAATTCAAATCAACATTATTGTGTCTAGAAGCATCAACCAATCAAATTGCTCATGTTAATCATCAAGTCATGACATTACCTTAATGAACATCTACACAAACAGCCCGTTCAGACACTTATTTTTAAACCAGTTCATAATCGCCGGGGTTTTTAAGACAGCATTGTGTTGCATTCACACGTACTATAAGCCAAACCAGTTTAACTATTCTGACCTCTCCGGTCGGAGGTTAGAGTTAACTACGCATGGGTAGCTTCGTATTCTTTATTCAGCTCTAGCACGCTTTCGATAACATTGGCACTGTCTGACCCCAATATTTTCACAGGAATGTAACTTACTGCGTACAGCGCATGCTCAAAGCAAGCTGGAGCAGGTTTTTTTTTTAAGCCAACCCGTTCAGATGGCTAAGATGAACCAGTTTAAAATAAAAAGCCTTCTCGAAGACAGGTCATGAGCTGGAGTTTTTAAACTGGTTTATTTGCCCCATATTTGCGTTCAGATGCTTAAGTTAAACTGGTTTAACGATCCCTGGGGTTTTTAAACCAGGGCCCTGTTTCTCAAAATCTTAACTGAAGATAAAATCCAAATTTAAGTAGATACTTCAATTTTGATTGGCTAAACGCTAAAATCAATCTAATATTATCCAATCAAATTACTAAAATTTGGATTTTATCTTTGTTAAAATCTCGTGAAACAGGCCCCAGTTCAACTTAAGCGTCTGAACGGCATATAAGTGTGAAAATTCTACCTCAATTAAAAGCAGAGTTATTGTGTTCCAAAGTCTTAACCAATCAAATCAAAGCATTAGCAGAAAATTTCCATCATCAAACTTAGTCATAGTGAATGATATACTGGTAATATGGTATTTTGTAAAATGAAACTTCCTTACCATGTTGAATTCCCATTTTTAATGTCACATTTTATTTTAGAAATTTCAACAGTCAGACTGGCTTTATCTTTTAATATTGCGCTTCCAAAATTTTGACCAGTCAAAGTCAATAAAGTTCCACCTTGAGTTGGACCATTTAGAGGATTAATCTAGAAAATAAATGAAATGGTCTACAATCCTTGTCCTATAAAGTTTACACTGTAGGCAATCATCTCAGGGTCAACACTTCTCTATCTTGTGTCTAGTCTGATAGGTTTATTTATGGTAACAAAACACACAATCTGAATGCCAGTGTCCCTCTCCTTCTCTCTATTATCTATAGCATTAATGTACATGTATTTATGGGAGCAATGCACATTATCTGAATGCCAGTGTCCCTCTCCTTCGCTCTATTATCTATACCACTAATGTATTTAGAAAGATGTGCATTCCCGTAATAAAAAAACAACTGTTCTAAATCTTTATCCTAGTCCTGTACAACTATGTAAAGCACTGTGAGGAAATTATTTAGTTCCCCAATATCATGTTGTGTAAATGCCTGGATAACCATGTTTATCTGTTAATTTGTACCTCGTGCATGGCGGCGAGCATCAATCGAATTGAATTTAAATCTCATCGGCATGGCTCAAAGCCGACAACGTGGAAAAAGGTTAGGCGCAGAGTATGTAAATCAGTTATTGGAGGATAGTGCCCATTTTGTGGACGAGCGTTTCCAGTCGACCCCAATGGCTTCGAGTTCGAGTGGTAGCGGAACTGCAGTCGGTGCTACGATTACAGCGGCAAACACAGGAAAAACTGGCAAGCGCACTGCCAGTCGCGGAACGGCCCCAACAACACCTTGTCCTAGTCATCTTCAGGCAGAAATTAGAGACTTACAGTCAAGATTACTTATTATGGAGCTTACTCGTGAGAAAACAGTACTCCAAAAGAGGTTGGAAAACATGGAGAATAGTGGTGGTGGTTGCCAAAATATGCAGACAAATGAATGTTTTGGAACGCCAGCCTCAAGTAGTAATAGCCAGGGACAAAGTTACACAGGTACGAATTCTATTCCGAATCATAGCACCAGCAAGGAATCTACGCGTTATGTTCACCATTATATATGGGATGACCCTCTTATAAACTTTGATGCTAGAGACGATGTGGTGACATTAAGTAATTCAGGTGTTAAATTAAACCGCAGAAGGGAGAGGGAGTGCCATAAACTTACTATAGAACAGTGGGGTTTTGGCGCAGTTGAAATTCTGCAGGAACTTATACGAAATGGTGAAATATCTACGTCGGGCATCCAGGATTATCTAGATTATACAAAAACTATTTTTCGGTTATTCAGTCGATATGTTATAGCCAGTGTTTTGCTGTACGATAGGAAATACCGAGAAGAGCAACAAAAGAACAAGTTTCGTTGGAATACGTCACGATCCAACATATTTGACTTTCAACTGATATCGAAGCCAACATTTAATCAGATGTCGCATCAGAAACAGTCTCAAGGACGTGTCAACAGGCGTAAAGGTCCCTTTACCCCGGAGGGCAAGGAGATATGTCGTAAATATAATTCTACAGATTCTTGCAATTTTTCTTATTGTAAACTTGCGCATTGCTGTACTAGTTGTTTTGGACCACATAGTGTTATTGATCATCCAAAAAACTAATTAAAAACTCTCTGTCCGCGACCCCACTATCAGGACTGGGAAAATGCCTCTCCGCCTGGGAAAGACAGCTTCCTACAGATTATAAGGACAGAGAGTTTACTATTAATGGAATTGAACAGGGGTTCTCGATCATTGATACATGCGACGACTCGCTTATCGATAAAGTAGAGGTAGACAATTGAAGATCCGTGCAAAACTTTAATAAACTAGTTGAAAAACAGATATTAGACGAAATTGCTGAAGGCAATTACATTAAAGCCGAGGAACAGCCAAAAATTGTGAGTGCTTTGGGTGCAATACCAAAATCTTCTGATAAAGTGCGTCTAATACACGATGCCAGCAGACCTCTTGGGTCTGCTATGAATGATTACGTAGATAGCGATTGCAGTTGTTCATATATGGACTTGCGCGAAGCAACAAAACATATCCATCGGAATGGATATCTAGCAAAAATCGATCTCAGTGCTGCCTACAGGTCGGTCCCGATCCACCCTGCCAACTACAAATATACGGGCTTAAAATGGCGTTTTGAAGGAGATTCCGATTATACGTATTTAAGTGATACCAAACTCCCGTTTGGATGTAAGAAAGCACCGCAAATTTTTCAGAAAGTTAGTCGAGCCGTGTGTGATATTCTCAAGTTGCGTTATGGTTTCACAGCCATTGCTTACTTAGACGATTTCTTAGTTTTTGACAAGTGTTGTGACAAGCTTATACATTTACTTTTTCTTCTTCGAGAATTGGGCTTTTCGATTAATTGGCGGAAGGTGGTTTGTCCAACTCAACAAATCACATTCCTAGGTATACTTATAGATACAGTTTGCATGACATATTCATTACCAAGTGACAAACTTGAAAGCTTTTATGAACTGCTAGTGGATTTTTCTAGCAGAAAACGTGCCAGCAAAAAGCAATTGGAACGCCTTCTGGGGAAGCTTAACTGGGCTGCCCAGGTTGTTTGTGGTGGGCGTACATTTCTTAGACGCATAATTGACATGAAGGATTCAATTACGTTATATAACCAAAAGGTTCTGTTATCTATGGAATTTTTTGAAGACCTACAATGGTGGCTAAGTTTTATGCACTCGTTTAATGGTACTTGTATCATACAAGATGTCCGTCCAATCACAACTGTCCAAACAGATGCTTGTACAGAAGGTGCAGGGGGATATTATAACGGGGATTATTTTTATGTTAATTGGAATCTTGATTGCCAGCTCTCCTACCTCTGCATATTAACGTTAAAGAACTAATAGCGATATTCTTAGCTATTTGTTTCTGAATAAACGTGTGATAATCTATTCGGACAATGTAAGTGCGGTCTCTTGGATAAATAAAGGATCATCTAAACATAGTGTTGCGAATATTGTGTGCCGCCTAATATGGTGGATTTGTTTATGCTGCAACTGTTCAATAAAAGCAATTCATTTATCAGGTACCAAAAATGTCATAGCAGACGCATGTTCAAGGTTACACAAACCTGACAAGTATGAGACATTATGTGCGTTGGTACCCTCGTTATTGTGCGAACCTTTTTCAATAGAGAGGCTTTTAGTACACATGTCCCCATCCTTCGTTTTTTCCAGGTGGATTAATTCAGCGGCTACTACAAAAGGGACTACAATACAAAGACCAGGCTTGGGCGAAATCTACGCGAGCAACATATGTGTCACAGATAAAGTGCTATATAGATTTTTGCGACTCAATAATGTCTTGCCCAGTGCCAGCCTCATCAGAAACAATCCAGTGTTATGTAGTGTACCTATCTGATTATAAACATTTTAAGTACTGCACAATACAACAATCTTTAAGCATTGTGTCTCATATTCATAAGATTTCGAAATATGAAGATCCTATTGTGAATGACTACTCCTTGAGTTTATTATTACAAGGTGTTAAACGTACACTTGGGGTAGCGCAGACACCGGTGGCGGCCATAACTCCGGATATTTTGTTAGCTATTAAATCAACACTAAACCTCGGCAATATTTCTGAGGTATCCTTTTGGTGTGCATGCATTGTTGCTATCTTGCCCCCTCCGGCGTTTTTAACCCGGAGTCAGATATTCGTCTAGCTGACCTAATTAAGTGCTCTTGGGGTTTTATTATTAAATTACGCAAAACAAAAACTATTCAATTCCGGGAAAGGGAACTGGAAATTATTTTGCCATATATAGGCAATTCCCTCTGTCCTGTTCTAGCATTACGTCAATTATTACTCTTGCGACAACATTCAAATGTTAATCAACCACTTTTTTTAATTAAGGATGGTTCTGCCCTCAATTACACTGTATTTCGCGCAATGTTGTCAGCAGCTCTCAATCGCATAGGCCTTACGAATTCAAATATAAAGGGCCATTCTTTCCGAAGGGGTTGAGCGACATGGTTAGGGAAATTAGGAATTCCCCTTGATACCATAAAATCCATAGGATATTGGGCAAGTAAATCGGTATATTGATCCACAATTTGCAAACAGATTGCATGTCATTCAAAAATTTGGACGGTCTTTAACTGTGCAGCTTTAGTTGGTAATTAGTCATTGGCAGGGCTTACATTTTTATAGTACCATTCCATTTCTCAACTTAATTGTATTATAAACAATACTGGGGTTGGGTTTTTTTTTTGTTACTTTATATGTTTGTAAAATGTTGATTATTATTTCTTTGATAATCTAACAATGGTTTTGTTAGGTTCTTATGTAGTGTATTACAATTTATTTAGTGTGGAATGTTATTAATAAACTGTGCCAATTTTAACACCTCGTCTGTCTCCTTTCATCCACTATCACAAGGAGGAGTTGGAGAAAGTCAAAATATAGCCTATACTTGTCGTAGTTATATTGTAAGTGATCGTCTTGATGATCAAGTCACTCGTAAATTGGAAGAATGAAATTCTTTAAATGGTTTACTAACCCCAAAAAGCTAACATTGTGAAAAGTTAAACATTTTAATTTCAAATTTGCAGACAATTAAATCTCGGATCACAGTTTTAAAGTGTTATTAATTTATGTACCAGATACTTACAGAATGAAGAGAAGGTGGACATTGATTACGATTAAAATCATTATCACATTCATTGTATGTTGTACACTTTCCCCTACACCAGCCACATCCCAGAGGATCTGAACTTGATAAACATGAATCACAATCACTATGTACTCCACATGAATCTAAGGAAAACTTTATAACCTAAAACAAAAGATTAAAACAAGTTTAAAACATGAAAGTCATTCACTTGAAAAGAATCCATTAACCATTATATATTTGATCATACAGCATAAGATAAATGAAATTACAATTTAATTTTTTTTTCAGATTTTCAATCTACATTGTAATCTGTGTTTTGCCCTTGTGACAATTCTATGTAAAACATCTCAACTGATCAAACTATATTAAAACATGATGAAAACGCACTACTTTTATAAATGGATGAATGTAAATCTTGTTTGAAAGATACACTTTAATCTTACGCTTCTGAATATAATAACATCAGATCAAATCTATGTTTTCAAGATAGCGTAAAGTTAAACACAAAAAATTGAAATGTAATGTTTGTGGTAAGTCATTTATCCACACATCCTTAGGTAAAATAATAAAAAAAATGGTTTAAAAATGCTGGTGTTCATTAAACCATTTTGATTTTGTATCTGATAGCAAACTTGTTTCAAATAAACCAGTTTTAAAATCACAGCTTATAAAAAAACTATCTTCGATAAGGCCTCTTCAAAAACTGTCTTATCTTGGCAGCTGGCTTTAAAATGCGAAGTGGACTCCAGACATACTCCTTGCAGTGTTTCGTTTGATTATACCTAATCCCACTAAACACTGCTTTATCGAGGGCAAATTTCTGTTCCAAATTATGACTGGTCAATGTCAATGGTCCGATTAACAACCAATGGCTAACTACGTCACAAAAGCATCACACTTAAAACAGAGCTCCAAATTGGACCAAATATGTTTACATAACGTTACGTCATGACTCACGATTTTAGTATTCCCAATTAACCAGTGCATATCAGAATATTGCAGAAAACTAATTGCATGACAAACGAGGCTATCAAATCGAAAACAATGTAAACAATACTGTTTGGAGACGAACATACTTTCACCATTTTTAATACCTTAAGCCTTAAATCACTGTCTAAAGTTTTAGGGAAGACCCAGATTAAACGAAGAGCTGTCACATTGCTGTACTTGGGATAGATTTGATTGAATGGGAAGAATAGACAAACTCCCACAAAAGCTCAAGTATCAGAAGCCAATCAAGCAAAGGCCATAGAGGGATTTCTCGGGCCATTGCTTCAGGAATATGGCTCCAGATATCTTCGGGCAGGCGCAGTAAGTTGTTTTTCTGGCCCTGTGCCCTTGAGTAATTATGTCAAATTATGTCAAATTAGTCAAACTGACTTGGCTTATGGTACGTGTGGTCCTCTGGCTTAAAATAAAGGAGCACTGGTGTTTTGAAACCAGTTTAAAAATATCATCGAGAAAGCATATTTTCTTTTACTTTACATGTGATTAAATCAAGGAGGGTGTCCTTTATTGACACCAATAATCAACAAGAAACTAATTACCTTATTACCAGTAAGTAGATATAATCTTTCTTTATCTTTATCAACATACATAGTAGATTCTATAGCTGTAGATTGTTGGGATGTAGTATTACCTAGATATAAACTCATATATTCTCGTCCTTTAGATTTATGTACCTGTAATAATATATTAAAAAATATACACTGTCAGTAAATATGGGTAACAGGGAACACAGGCTTGTTGTAAACAGCTTTAATCACTGACAGACCAAAACATAAGATCGCAATCAAAACATGGCGCTCGTTATTTATATATATATATTCTGCGCAGGCGCGTAAGTTACATGGTCCGATTCATTGGACGCAAGTGTATATAACAATGTTAACACTATACTAATATGCAGACCATTGTACTCGCATGACCACTTCTTCTTTTTTTCTTTCTCTTTTGTTTGGTGATACAGGGGGGAATAAAGAACTAACTTTAAAACGAAAATTAAAACAATTGTACACTACCAATAAGAAACAGTTCTACTCGAATAGTTGTGACGAGGTAGTAAACTAAACTAAGTCACATAATCTGAAAGAAATACTGGCTTGGTCTTTAGTCTAGTAGAATGACGACTTGAACACTGATAAGAGGAATCTTCATTATGTGAGGTGTATTGATGCATGACTTGTGGCTCAAGGTCCGTGTTAAGCAAAGTTTCGTCAGGTGTTGCTGGTAAGGATAGAACAGGAGGTATCTCACAAACAGGCATGTTGGTATCTCCTTGGGTGTGTGTATTACTAGTTATATCACCAACAAACTCGTTGGGGTCCTCTGGTTCTAGATCACATCTTGACCTTGGACTCTGAAATGTGAATGTTGAGTCAGGAACACGGTAACACTCAGTGACTTTAACCTGGTAGGGTGCTGATCGTAGTTGGGAACCAGAAAATTTACGAACAGTACACCCATTTCCGTCGGTTGAAATGACGATATATCTATCACGAGCAGCGAGTTTATTACCATCGCAAGTGATATATACAATGTCACCCGTTTCGACGGGTGGAGAAGAAGGCTTTTGTCGGCCAGGGGCTTTAGCTCTTTCACTGTGGGGATGATTAGTAAGACGCTGGTTATGCTGGTCCTGGATAAGCTTTACATCGGACATATGTATCTGGTCGTTTGAAAACTGATCACGTTGTGTCCACATTCTCACGCGGAAAGTCCTCTGTTGCGTATTCTGGAATTCATTCTAGCGGTGGTGATGGCAAGAGTTAAAGGAGTAATAAATCCACCACCTGGGTTAAACCGAAGTAATTCTTCGGTAAGTTCCAAAATTGCATGCTCAGCCACTGGATTTTTGTTGATATTCTTGGGTCTGCCGATATCTAATGTGATGCCATGTTCCTGAAGGAGTTGATCGTTGAGAAGACCCTTAAAGGCTGGTGCAGGGTCAACTCGGATACTTATGACGGCGTCAAGAGGTATCATCACAATGCATAATTGTATGAGTGCAGAACGAAGGGTAGACTTTTGTTCATCTTCTATAATGCACGAAGTAGTGTATGACGTGACTGTCTCTCAGAGAATAAGTACACATTGGCGATTTCGTTTCATAACATCAGCGGCAAATGTTAATCCTATTCGCTCAGGGGGTTCAGATGTTGACTGTTCCTGAAGAGTAACAGGGATTTTCTTCAAAGATGCACATAGATGACACCTAGTTGACGTTGAGTCGATGGCTGCATCGATATCTAAGGCATAAAAGTGTCTTTGAAATAGGAGCTTTAGCTGGTGCTTAGAAGGGTGGTTGAATTTTATATGTAATGCAACAAGTAGGCCATCCAAGACTTGACGTGGAACGATGGTGCATTCATGTGTACTAGATAGTGGATCATCGCGTTTCACTACTAGGAGGCCATTCCTTCCAATTGAAGCTGTTCGAAGATATCGCTTGATATCTTTGATATTGGTAAGTTTCTTCGATGGTCTTGTTCCCTGGGTCAGATGAGCGTGAACACGTCTAAGATCTGAACACTCGTGTTGCATCTGTTGCCATGTTGATGGGCTTGTGTATGGTATCTTGGAATTGCCAGATAAGACATCCTCTGTTAGCGTAGACCTGATGACACATGCTTCACAAGCAGTAATAAATGTACAAACTTGGCAACTGGGTTAAGAACATTCCGGGGCATTGCGGCTTGCAAAATCTGATGGTACATTGGCTGAACCGGCAAGATGCTGAATGTTGACATGCATGGTATCGGCTTTATGTAGAAAGGAAGGTTGTCACTCATGCACTGGCAGAAAATTCACCCCAACACAACTTTTGATAAGCTTTAACGCAAGGTTTGCTGTCAGTAAGAACTGATGCTTGATGTGTAGATTGTATGATATATGGTGAGAAATGCCTGATAGCAGCCGTTATGGACAAAGCTTCAATTTCGCAAGGCAACCATGTTACTTGGTGTTTCTTTAGTTTTGCGCTGAAAAAAACGGCCAGATGAAGTTTTCCATGTCGAGAGACATACAGGGTAGAGCCAAGAACAGTCATCTTTACAGATCCATCAGTAACAATCCATAAATGGTCATTAGGTCGAGGCAGGACGATCTGTTTATTGAACTGAAGTGCATTCTGGGCTTCTTTGAAAGATGAGGTAAGGGAGTCAGTCCAATTAATCAGTTCCTGAGAGTCTTTTCCTGCAATAACATTCTCGAGAGGACTAAGGAGAACGGAAGAATGTTGGATAACTCTTGACAATACTTTATACGCACCAATAAACGATCGAAGGCCTCTGACGAAGGGCGTGACGAAGTAGATAAAGCCGATATTCTGTGTTTTCCTGCTTTAATTGTTCCATCAGTCCAAATCCACCCAAGAATTGTGGTTGTTTTCGGACATATTAGAGTCTTCGATGCGGAGAGACGGAGGTTAGCTTTAACTAAACTACCTAATACGCGTTCCCATATGTCAAGCAGCTCTGCTGGCGTGTTACTACCACAGTAAAGGTCATCAGCTAATTTTACAACAACACCTTCGGTTAACAGGTCACCTAGAACTCTACTCATCAACTCCTCTAACGCAGTCACGGACCTAGGCATGCCCACAGCGGAACGACAATACACGAGGACTCCTTTAAAAGGGGTAGCTACGCCACAATACTTCATGGAAGAATGTGACAAGGGGATCTGATAGATTGCTTTAGTTAGATCTGATTTGATAATGAACTTCCATTTAGCTATTGTTCGGAGAGTTGATTCGACGTCAGGCATGAGGGAAGGCTGAGGCTTGCTATATTGTCTGACTTCTCCGAATGCTGTAACTAACCTGTTACCTCCATCGAGTTTCTTAATCAGGAATGATGGGTTAAGATACTCAACAATAACGCCAGCGTCTTCGGGCTGTGTTTATGCAAATTAACTGGTTGGGGGTTTGTGTTTTGAAGTCTGATTTTACCATTAATCGCCTAGATGACAGCTGGTTCGGGCCATAGTTGCTGGGTTGATTTCGCTACCAGAGAATCCATTCTTGGTTCAATGGCTAAGTAGTCATCTGTAGGGACATCGTGTGGTGTGTCGAGTTCAATAAAGTCACCAGGCCAGAGGGTAGTATTCACACTTGGGGCCCGTAAGATATGGGATATAGCGCACACAGAGTGGTGGTTAAGGCCTTTTGTGTTGTCACCATACTGTGTATATGTAGAATCTCCTATAACAATCTGATTTCTTGCTGGTCGAACCGAAATATCGTTGAAGGTCATGAAAGGCGGCCCCCCAAAATATCGACGTTGAGCTCTTCTACGACTAGTGCTTCAAGTTGTAAGTGTATACGCCCATGACTTAATGACAGGCGAGTCTCACCAACTACTGTCAATGGTGTAATGCCATCAGCTTGGAGAGCAATCTGTGAGCTTGGCGTTATTGTGGCATTTATGTAATGAGCAACAGAAGATCTAATCATGTTGGTTTCTGCACCCGTGTCGATGGTTAGGCGAAGAGGAAACTGGTTAAAAAAGGCATGGAGGTATGGTGATTGGCGTAGAGCAACGCGTCTTGATATTTGTCGAACTGTATTAATGCCGGGGTCGTCTTGAATGATATCTGTCTGGTAACTTGGGTTAGCTTCTGGATCATCCAAATTTAGAAACTCGTGGGACATGATATGATAAGGACGGTCTTTGTCGGGTAAGTATGGACATTGACTAAGGTAGTGTTGAAACTCTGGTCTACCAGATTGTCGACACAAGGGACAAATTTTGACCCTTGACTTGAAAGGATGTCGGCTAGGATATGGTTGAGTGGGTTTATTGTCACGTCGATTAGGTGTCCCTGCTGATCTCATAATGCGGACTTCTTCTGTTGTGGCTAGTTCGTCCAAAAGTGAAGGCAAAGCTTGAGATATCTCGCGTTTGATCGATGCAAGTGTTCTCTGGCGGAGTTCTGTGCCATAGCGCTGACGTACAAGACGTGGTAGACCTTCGTGTAGAAGACGAAGCCAGAAAAGTACGATGAGATTTTCGAGTGTCAGTGACATATCTTCATCAGTAAGAATGGGGTCTCCATGATGGGTGAGTCCACCCCCTTGTTTGAGCAGGTTGTCCTCAACAAATGACATAATCCGTTGAAATAAAGTTTCAGGTCTTTCCTCAGTCTTGGGCTTTATTTCTGTGAAATCAAGAAAATGCGCACCTGTGGTTTGAAATCCATAATGTAATGTTAAAGACTGCCAAATATTAGATAAAGAGTTTTTAATGATGGTATTTCTTGAGATTATAGGAGCGTAATTCGCTATTTGGCCGAGCATAAGCTCTAACATTTGGACTTTTTGTTGAGCGGTACGGCGTAAGTCTTCGGGAACTCGATTGTTATCATTAGCGAACCGCCAATTTGAATTTGCTGATGTTTTCTTTGTCCATGTAGCACCTTCAGTTAAAAATTCTGTAAAATTGGTGTCGAGTGTCAAAATATACAAAGTATTTGCCTGCCATGATTCGAACGATGGTAAAGTTTCATGTTCGGTCAACGACCATTGTTTTGGGGCCCTTGTGTTGGCCATTTTGTTCAGCGTCTGTTTAACTAATCACTGTAGAAATGAAGGCCTGTGTTGTCAATATGGCGTACGTATAGTCCACTGTCTACGTGACTTGTAGAAACACACAATGACAAACTTACTTTATTTGGTTTACTTAGAGCTTGTGAGGCGCCCGTCGGTTTGAAAACATTCACAGCCGATGCCACCACGTCAGTAAGTGAGAGAATATGGGTAACAGGGAACATAGGCTTGTTGTAAACAGCTTTAATCACTGACAGACCAAAACATAAGATCGCAATCAAAACATGGCGCTCGTTATTTATATATATATATTCCGCGCAGGCGCGTAAGTTACATAGTCCGATTCGCTGGACGCAAGTGTCTATAACAATGTTAACACTATACTAATATGCAGACTATTGTACTGGCGCACGTTCTATTGTGCTTATTACATTTTTTTATTTTGCTTTTTATTTTGATCTCCTGGGTATTCTTACACACTCTAACATCTTGCATCCCACTCTGTAAATCAAGCGAGAGAGAGAGAAATGGGGTTTAACGTCCACTCGACACAAACTAGGTCATTTTGGGACTAACACATGGTTCAATTTTATTTCAATAAATCGCTTGCGCTTAGGGGTCTTTAGCAGTGGGAGGAAACTGGAGGACCCGGAGAAAACCCACGAGGTTGGACAGGCGACCCTACTCCTTGTCTGTAAATCAAGCACTTTAAATGTGAATATAATGTTCTTGGGTATATTTGGAATACAAGTTAACTGTAATGGAATGAAATGAAATGGGGCTTAACTCCTACTTTTCTACTCCGACTGGGCTAATGAAGATGGGCATACACCATACATTGTGCTATAAGGGAAATTTTGCTTGGGCAGCAGCACTATGGCCTACTCTTATATCAAATTCCAACACCAATTTATACACAGGACCTTGGGTTTTCGTTCCATCTGAATGACTAGATAGGTGTCCTTGTCAGGCCCTTCATCCTGCACCACTGACAAGGGGAAACCACGTTGGCAAAGGGGGTGGATGACTCTAAAAACGGTGGGAGTGAACTTTTTATTTTGTCAAAGGATCAAGTCACTACTGTTGTTAATGAATTCTCACCAATTTATATCATTATGTTGTTTATAAGAATACGGTAAATGATTATCTAGTGTCATTTATGATTGTTAGTAATATTTATCAAGGTTTTGTTTCTTAACCAGCATAAAATATTTACATGAGCTCACAAATACGATTGTTTTTATTTTTTAAAATTAAAACAGGTCATGAGTCCCTTTTAAAGTGATGTGAGAGTGAGTATCGGAGAACCAGAATATTTTTTTGTATGGCCTAAAGATTAGATTTTAAAGGACAATATTGGTGTAAGAGGATACCTGACAATTCAATAAAGTAATTGAATGTCATTAGATAAGAGAACACGAGAAAAATAGAAATAGTCCGTACATTCCCTTGTTTATATTCATTCAATACCTTATAAAAACATGGTAATGCACGGATTTTTCTGTTTTTCTTTCGTGTTCTCTTATCTAGTGGCAGTCAATTCTTTTTATGAATTGTCAGATATTCTCTCACAGTCTCACACAACAACTCTTGGTCTTGGAAGGAATTATTAGTGAGCAGAAATCCGGCCGTGTATCTGTTATCACTCGTCACATCAGTCAGTTATATTGGGGTATGACTCGTGTTTTCCTTTGGCGTTCGTCACTTCCGATTCAGGAAACCTGTATTACTCAGCTATCGTAGCAATGATCTCTGTGTTAAAATTATATTTGGAACGTGTTTAATTAGTTCTATCACATATGTGTTAATGACTGACACCAATATTGTCCTTTAAGCTAACATATGAAATCAATTTTCGCCACTGATAAAAAAAATTCTGTTGCTGAAAAGGGGGTTCAACTTAATATAACAGCCTATTGAAATAAAAACAAACCTTCAACAAAAATCCATCCACTGTTCCTAATAGAACAATTGTTTGTTCATGTTGTTGTATAGAAGCTACTGCTTGGATTATCTTATCTGTGTCAAAAAATCCATTAGCTTCCATCTCTTTTTCTGATTGAATTCCACGTCTCTTTTTAATACTACAAATACTATCTGTAGTCCCATCTTGAATTTTCTGTACCTGTAAAGAGGTTATCAAGCAATTAAAAACAAGTCTTTAATAATGTGATGCTACAGTAATCGGTTAAGACACTGGTCTCTCAACTTATGTGAGCCAGGAACAATCATTAGACTTTTTCTACTCTTGGTTACCTGTATCATGTAACACCTGCAGGACTAGTAAGGAGACCGAGAAAAAAACAGCGGCTGCCAGGCAGAATACGCCCACATTTTCGAGAGATGGATAGAGAACAAGCTAAAAAGAAAGTGACTTTTCTACAATCAAGGGCCATAATTCAGGAAATTACAATTCAATATGCGCAAATATCGAAAGGAACCGAAATCTTTGGGTTATAAACTTAAATTTCAAGTTTCAACAAAATCAGATAAAAATTGTGACCTCTATAGGGTCCACAACCTTGATATACCATATTTTTAAGCTATTTGAGAACGAGGGATGGCCATTTTGTCTGTCAGTTTTGGACCGATTTTCACGAAATTCGAACTCAGTCATCCTTAGGGTGTAACAGTGATATAATAGAACGGTTTTTTAAATCATATAAAAATTATGACTTCTATAGGGTCCACAAGCTAAAAACGTGATTTTTCGTACAATCAGGGGCCATAATTCAGGAAGTTACTGTCCGATATGTGCGAATATCGAAAGGAACTGAGATCTTTGGGTTATAAACTTACATTTCAAGTTTCAACAAAATCGAATCAAAATTGTGACCTCTATAGGGTCCACAAGCTAAAAACGTGATTTTTCGTACAAACAGGGGCGGACAGACAGACGGACAGGGGCGACGGCATAATACGTCCACATGAAAATGTGGGCGTATAAAACTTTTAGGGGGTGCTACTGTCTATCAAAGTTCTAACAAAATGTGACTTTTTGGCATTTTTTCTGAAAATTTTTTGGGAAAATATTTTTGGCATGAAAGGAAATGTTGTTTCCTGGTTAATTAGAATGTGAAAAAGACAAAAATAATATTTATAAAGCTACAGAAGTGATTCCAGTGTTTTATACAGAGGTTTGAATATTGGTGACCAGGTAATCTGTAATGTATACCTGGTCATAAAATCAAGATTTTTCTGGGAATTTGTGTCTTTTTCCTAGGCCGTTACATCTAGCCCTTCTGTTCTAGCTTCCAGTGTAACCCACAGTTTGGGGACAGCAACTTCAAAAGCCTTCTTGCTGAAACTGATAAGATTTGTCTACGATATCACCTTAGGTGGAAGTGGACGTAAAACTCCAGAAACGAACGAAAGAACGAACTGATAAGATTGGCATTTTTCTCAAGGTGCAAATTATCACTGAAAGACTGTAAATGTCCACGAGATTCATAAAAACATAAAAGATTACTAATGTTATTTGTACATTTAAAAACTAATAATAAAACCTTATATTCAGTTTCATATGATCCCTGTATATATTTTATATAAGGCGAGCAGCTTTTGTACCTTTTGTACAGGACAGAAATAAAAGAATTTTGAACCTCTGTATAACACACTGGAATCACTTCTGTAGTTTTATAAAAAATATCATTTTTGTCATGTTCCCATTCTAATTAACCAGGAAACAACATGTATAACTTTTTTCCACAAAAAAAAAATGCCAAAGAGTTACATTTTGTTTGAACTTTGACAGATGGTTGCACCCTCTAAAAAATTTCTTATCTATTTCGACATAAATTGAGGGTAGCCCCTTAACTTTTCAAAATTCAGCATAATAAGGACCACCTTATACTTTTGTCAAGGTTTGACTTGGTACATGGTTGGGCATGTTTCCTTGTATATGGGATTAAAATGAAACCGCATCAGTTATATTTGTTTTGAACAACTTAACAGTTTATTATTACTATATAAAAGTATATTGTTGATTTGATATAGGTCTATCTACCATTTTACTTGCAAACTGCTTTTTTGTAACCAAAAAAACTAAGGTACCTAGCCAAACTGTGTACCAAGTCAATCTGTGACAATCTGTGTTTATCTTTTTTTATACTTACTATTTTAATGTTTTGTTTACATTTCGTTTTAGCATTAAAGATCCAAAATGGCTCTATACCTGTACCAGCTTCGTAGCAATCTAGCAGAACTTCTTGAAAATGTGACTCAATATTAGAAAGAGGAAACAGACACACAGCAGATCCACCTTTAGGATCATATTCATAAGACTGCTTCAAATTCTTGCCGGCTGCCACATATAAATTTTCGTCTGCTATGTGGGCAGCTGTTGTTACATTAAACAAAAAGTTATTACGTGTACATGCCAATTTCGTTTCCAAATATGAATAATAATTTTGATCTTGTAAACAAACACGTCCAAGTTTTGTAACAACAATACCATCTTCTTCCTGAACTTTAAGAAAATATCCATATCCTTTATGGCTGAAAGCTATTATAGCTTTAATGTAAAAGTTTGGTTTTAAAATCGGATGTACATCAAGACCAGAAAACAAATCAAGCTCCGGCTCATCAACAAAATAAGAAATATTAAAACCATGATTAAACTGTTCAATTCTTCTTGTCGATAGCAGTAGTGGTGAAAGACTCAAGTTCCTTTTATCATAGGTCTGCATAACATATAAAAAATTGATATTATTAACCAAACCAAAAAATGCTGCACTAGAAGAACGACTTCCCACAAAATTTGTAATGGTGGTTCTGTCCATGGCTTGCAGATTAGTGATATTTATTAAACTGTGCATGTGACAAAGACCTTGTTGTCCACTACCACAAACTAACAATTTACGCTTTCTATGATCAATTTCAAGTATCTTAACGTCATTAGCCATTTTGATTCTTTGTTCATGGCAACTTTCAGGAAATGGTAAACAATTTTTGTTATCATTTGTTGGACCTATTGTCACCTGGTTTTTAATTTCAAGTGCTGGATTAAGCTGAACCAAGATGTTTTGCCCCCCAACATATATTTCTCCTGTTTCATTATCAGCTATTAGTTTCTGCAACCGAGTGGATTCTCCATCAATTTCTATAACTGTCATAAAGTTTGAACAATTCGATCCACAAATTAAATTGAATAATAAAATGAATACACAGATAACAACATAACTGGAGTTAATGTAACAGGTAGACATACTGAATCATTACCTCAGTATTCTTTTAAATATGTGTCAAAGGAATGGAAGTATATTTAATGTTTGAACTAGTTCCATTTACCCAACAATCTGAAAAATATAAATGAATAATATATTTGTACAATTTAGCGAAAAATAGCATCATTTTCCATATTAATCCATATGTGGCGCTTTACTACAAGGTTCGCCATTCAGGTGCATTATGTCGTCTTTTCTTGTATTCAGAAACTGATTCTTTTGACAGATGTTTATATCCGATGAATTCAAAAATGCCAGAAATGTTTTATATGCAAAACTATTCCAAAATTCTCACATAACCATGCAATTCCATAAAATTGAAAGTAGCTTATTTAACTACAATGTCTACTTTACTGATTGCGCCAAATAATTAACATCAAACTATCCAGAGCTTACATTTCAGCTATCTTTAAGACATATTATTAATAGTAGGCAATTTTATCCATTTTGCTGAAATAGAATAGGTCCATATTAATGTGATGCTGAAACAAGCAGTTGCCATGCAAGATACGCCCACAAGTTAAAAATAAAAAGCGATTTTTCGTACAATCCGGGGACTTAATCCGAAAAGTTATCGTCCGATATGCGCGAATATCTACAGGAATCGAAATCTCTGAAATATAAACATATATTTTAAATTTCATCAAAATCAGATAAAAATTCTGTCCCCTAGAGAGTCCACAACCTTGAATAACATACTTTTACACTATTTGCGTACAAGAAACGGCAATTTTGTTGGGCAGTTTTGGTCTGATTTTCATGAAATTTGAACTCAACCATCATTAAGTTGTAACATATTTTTACTTTTTTCGGTAATGAAACATTTATAATACATTAAAATCTGATTAAGAGTAACAACTCATTAAGTAATTATCAGAAAACCATTAGAATTTGTTTAGTTTTTATAAAGTTCTGCCCCATGCTAATGTTTAGTATACAAATCTTTTAACATCTTGGATTTAGCTGTTCAAGTCATAAAGATTCATTGAAAATCAATATACTTGTTCGTCTCAAGACCTTAAACAATGTGTATAAATTTAAAGTCAATCGGATATTTACTTAAGCCTCTAGAGCGTCCACAAGATTTTTCAAAGTGATCAAGGGCCATAAATCTGGAAAAAATTATCGGAAATAGCTGAAAATCAATAGGCTTCTTCGTCTCATGGTCTTCAACTCTGTATATAAATTTAAAGTCAATCGGATATTAACTTTAGCCTCTAGAGCGTCCACAAGAATCTTTAAAGTGATCAAGGGCCATAACTCTGGCAACAAGCCAACAGTGAGGCTGATGTCCCCCGCCGAAATTGCAAAATAAATAGATGACGCATATTAATTAATCGCACATTTATTTTTTTCACTAAGTTTCATCACTCTCTATCAGATAGAATCAAGATTATCTTGTCCCAAACCATCGACAAATGAAATTGATTAGCTCTGCTTAGCTTCAGCTCGAAATGTTAATTATTGAACTCAGTCAAGACATTCACCTAATCTACATATACATCAAGTTTAAACATTCACCTAATAGACACCTATGCCAAGTTTGAACATTCTACCTCAATTAGAAGGAGAGTTATTGTGTTCCAAAGTTTCGACCAATCAAATTGCTTATCACTCTGCTTACCCTCAGCAAAAAATGTTTATTATCGAACTTAGTTAAGGTATTCATATAATAAATCTATACACCAAGTGTCCTTACTTTCACTTAATTAGAACCAAAGTTATCGTGTCCCAAAGCATCAAACAATCAAACTGCTTATCTCTGCTTACCCTAAGCAGAAAATTCCCATCTTCAAACTCCATCAAGGCATTCACCTAATTGACACCTACGCCAAGTGTGAACATTCTAATTCAATTAAAATGAGAGTTATTGTGTTCCAAAGTCTCGACCAATCAAAT